AAAATTGCGCAATGTGAGACGCACCTTGAGGTCCCCTCTCAGTGCATTTAGGTGAAAAATGCAAAGAGCTTTTTGTGAGGCAGTGCGCCTCAGTTTTGGCCTGAGCTCACTAGCATGAGGTATATGCCCACTTTATTTATATATTCTTTTAATTAAACTTAACATAAATCTTAAACTCAGCCTCAACAAATCATGCTTTTACGCACTCTCGAGCCAACAACACTTCCACTTGATTGTCTAACCTCTAGCCTATTGTTTCCCCACCGCAACCATAGCATATTTTTCAGCTTAAGTGAATCAATGGAACATCAGAGATGATGAGGCCAAGGATAAGACGGTTGTTACAATGACCACTCAAATGAAGACCCCCTTGGTGTGACACTGTAGATGACTTATGAGTAGGGGGTCAATTTTGGGTCACGGGTCGGGTTTGAGTCGAACCGAAACTAACCCAGCACTTTCGGGTCGACTCGAACCCGACCCATTTTTAAAACGGGTCAGTTTCGGACCTGAAACCCGCCCGATTCGGGTCCGGGTCAACCCGATCGACACGAATGACTCAAGGTTGACACCAATTGCTAGTTTTCAAGTAAAAAATTGGTCCAATCTTCGATTATTTTTGGATCATAAACGGGTTCCAAAAATGGTCAATCTCGAGTTTTCGGGTAAATACAAGTTTTCGTGTCAATTTCGGTGTCAATTTCCGGGTTGTTGGTCAACCCAAACCTAACGCGTTTTTAAATGGGTTGGATTTGTTGAACCGAACCCGACCCTTTCGGGTCCGGGTTGACCCTCTAGCCCGGATCTTTTTCGGGTCAGGTTCGGCGTCGTGTCAAAATTGACACTCTACTTCTGAGTTAATGCCAGTATTATTTCAGCTTTCTTAAGAAATTAAAATGTGGGAAATGATAAGAGAATGAGAATAGAAACTTTGGAGTTGAATTTGGATTATTGTTTAATATTTTTATGCAATTCCTATATTTTTAATATTGTTTTGCTACTAGTTGCTTACTGGATAATTTGTATTTCAATTATGTTTCACAATTTATTAGTTTGTCGCTTAACCGTTTGTGCAATTTTTGTTTTACATTGTTATGCAATTTATTACTTCAATAGCTTCGATAAAAAAGAGTATGTTTCTTTAACAATTATTTGGTCATACATAAAAAAATCAATTTTTAACATTTACTTTCACTTTGCCAAATTTTTAGTTTTGAGGCTTATCCCTCAAAACGAGTTCATGGCTTATCGTCTTGGCTCACGGACTAAAAAATGCCTCAATACCGAATTGGTGCAATTTTTAAGCTTACCATGTTCTAATATAATTTATCCTCATTCATGCAAGTTGAACATTCAAGGACAATAGAGTATGATGTGTCATTTCGAAAGGACGCATGGGGAACTAGCTTCATTTATGAGAGTGTTCTTGTACTATTAAATTTTTGCCATATACTGTAATATAACAAAGCACAAATGCGGGTGAGAACAGAGCACCTTTGTCCTGGCTTTCCTAAGCCCTCTCCCTTAATATTTGAATGAGAGATAGAGCCTCCATGATAGTAGCTTCAGGACTACTTTGGTGTTTGTAGTTAGAGACAAAGATGATTTGACAGAAAGATGATGAATTTGGTGGTGGGCCAATACCCTAAGTCGAAGATGAGAGAGAATGCCTTGAGCTTGAAGCAGAGAGATAGCTTAGAGTTTAAACTGAGAAGTTCGAGATGAAACCCGAGAGAGATAGAGTCGTTCGATGCCCAAGTTAAAGTTTGACAAATAAAGCCGAGACGATGGAGACTAGAGGAACCCGAAAACTGGAGACCGTTTTTCCTTGGGGATTACTTGACGCCCTATGTAAACTAATAAAGTTTAATTGAGATAAATACCCATGATACTATTATAAAGTAATTCTCGAACCAGGTTTTGGCCATCTATTAATAAATAGTTCCACATACAATGTTGGGATTAGTTGTTGATGTCTGTGGTATTCTAGAATATTTAGAGCTTCCTTGTATGTGTATTAATATTATCCTCTTCTCTTCATGGAAATAGTCCTTCATTTAAGCGCAAATCCCTTCATATTAATTCTTGACGTCTCTTGTGGTACTTGATCTGTTCTGTGGTTTTGTCGCATTAATATTTCATTTTGGCAGCTGTTCTGCCATTGGGTTAGGCATTTCTTAATGGAAATTTTGCTTATATTTTTGGACAAATAAGGGATTTTCTTTACTTCAAAAGTGGATTACGACAACAATATTGGAGATGCATGATAAATGCTTGTGAGAAACTACTGAGGTGCCATGAGGACAAGATCACAAAGAAACTGACATTACCTAGGAAATGAATCATATTTTATTTTTATTATGCTCGGTTTAGCCAGGTAATTCAAACATCTTATGGGCTGTGTTGGCATAGTCGAAATATACTTCACAAGTCCAATAGAAGCATTCCAAGTTGGCAAAACATAAGTAGAACATACAGGCTTGTCGGTACATGAAGTTTATCTTTAAACTGACTTGAACATAAGTTGTAATATTTCTTTTCAGTGACAAAAAGCTAATGCCCTGTTTATCTTCCATGGTGCTATTGTTATTTTACATCACAGAAACTGCTCAGCACCTTTCACTACGGATATGTAGTTGCACTTCACTCTAAATACTGAGCAACATGGATAACATTTACAAGAAAGTTTTTCAACAAGTGTTAAAAGAACCGTTGCTAACTAAACAACCTCGAAGTTATCATGGAAGATGACAATATTTCTATTCTTAATCTGTACGACTCACCCTCTAAATAGCAGCATAACTGAAATTACCCCGATGGGGCAATGCCAAAATATTTCAAATATGATTTCCAAATAAAAAATTAATCGGCATCTTTCAGAGTTTCAATTCGGTCTTCGCTGCTTTCTTCTAAGTTTCCTATTTATATTATCCACACGTTTTTATGTAAGCTTTGGAATGATGGTAACAGTTCAATATCCATAAATTCTACACTGCAGGAAACATTCAAATCTAATACTAATTCTTAAATTATTTCAAGAGAAGACAATGACAGCGCAAAAATTTGACGCCAGCCCTTTATTTCAATTTTATTTTAGTTTTGGTTCAAAACAAAAATACAGCTCAATTAAATAGTAATATCCTCAAGTATGCAACTTCTCTGATTTAGGGTCTTTCACGGCCCACCGTAATCCTACCGTCTTCTCATCCAAGGCTTAATGAATCCTTTATAAACGCTCCCAAACCCTCCTTCTCCAATCTTAGCGTCCGATTGAAAATCATTAGTAGCGCTCCGCAGCTCGGAGCTTCGAAAACGCGAGAACGCCAGCTTTCTCTCAACATGGCCGAGATGCTCGCTGCGACGAAGTCGAGACTGAGGATTTAAACTGGTCTGCTTCCCACCGGTCGAGTCATGCGCATGGCTAGTTTCGTAAATTGGAACGACGAAGTTTGTAGTAGCTGGAAACAGCTAGGGCTTTCTGACCCGGATTTCCCGCTCTTCGTCTTCGGCTTCGTCTTCAAGAACCGAAACACCCCATTTCCCAGAGGCGCTCGCCTTCGAACGATCTTCTATTCTGTTGCGGCGCATTATGCTAACCAAGATGAAACAATGGAACCGAATCAAGCCATCAAAAATAGAGTTTGAAGACTGGAGAGCCGAATGGAGGAAGGAAACTGGAAGGCAAAGGATGAAATAACTATGGAGAGAGAGGGAGAAAGATGATTTGTGGAGGTATTCTGCAAGCTCTCGGGCAGGAAGAATGTTTACCACTTTCCAACAGAGAAATCGGTGTGAGTACGAGACGAAAGGAAGTTGCGTTTTTCAAGTTTTCTTCTCCATCAGTTTCTTCTCGCTTTTCCCATCTGATTATTTCTAAGAAGCTGAGAGGACGGAATGAAGACCGCTCGAATTCAAGTCAATTTTCTGATCATATGGCCAAATTTTACCTGCGATATTATAGGCAGAAAAAATTATTATGAGTGGTGTAGGTCATAATTATTTAGTTTCAGGTCATCTGATGTATGCTCTACACTCCAGAATGTCAATAACATGTCGTTACGCTGTTCTTTATTCTTTTACCGTGCGGCGACGACGCCGAACGCAGACCTGGACCGGTTATTCGCTATGTATTGGTTGATTTATGCAAACCGGGGTATTCGCTAGTATTGCCTCGCAATAACAGAATTGTTCCTGCCAAGATCAATACCTGCAATACCGAGCAATAACCAAGTAATTCCGATTTTGCTAAGGTTTGCTCGGTATTCGCGGGTATTGGTCTTGAAAGAGCGGCTATTTATCTTGTTTTGCAAGTAATCCTAGCAATACGAGCAAAACCGAGTATACCTAGCATAACACGAAATAGCAATATCGGGTCCGGTTCCGGGTTCATTGTCGGGCCGGCAGTAACGAGTTAAGAGGCCCGTGGCGACATGTTATTGACGTCGCACCACGTCATCTGATACACGGCGACACATAATGCGGTCAATTTGGGCGCTATATGTCATTCAATACACTATGTATTGAGTGACATGGCAAGTCTAAATTGACTTCTGAATGGAGATTGTATGACATGACTCGTCCAAATTAACCTCCAAATATGGAACTTTTATTTGGTCATGACACATAACGTAGCTCTACATCCGATTGAGAAAGTGAAACTTTGATTTTAATTATGAATATGTTATGTTTTTGTTAAAACTTGGTATAAAGTAATTTTGCATCTTTTTATGATTGGTTGTCTTAGATAAGTAAAAGTATTATAATTTTCTTCAAATTTTACTATATATTTATAAATATTTATGTCATTATTATAATATTTAAATATAATATATATTTATTACGTCATCCGGTTCGACCCCAATTCGACCCCGGTCGAACCATCAAATCTCTAACCCCTCATTTTTCCGGTTCATTGACAGATCCGATTTTGAAAGCCTTGCCTACAGCACTCATAATAATTTTTCGTGCCTATATATCGCACGTAATAATTTGGCCATGTGATCAGATAAATTGACTTGAATTCATGCGGTCTTCAGTTCCGTCCTCTCGGCCTTCTTAGAATAATCAGATGGGAAAAGGAGAAGAAACTGATGGAGAGAAAACTTAAAAACGCAATCTTCCTTTCGTCTCGTACTCACACCGATTTTCTCTGTGGAAAGTGGAAACCATTTCTTCCCTTTGCGTCGAAGCTTGCAGAATACCTCCACAAATCTCTTTCTCCCTCTCTCTCCATAGTTATTTCATCCTCTTGCCTTCCAGTTTCCTTCCTCTATTCGACTCTCCAGTCTTCAAACTCTATCTTTGATGGCTTGATTCGGTTCCATTGTTTCATCTTGGTTAGCTTAATGCGCGCAACAGAATAGAAGATCGTTCGAAGGCGAGCGCCTCTGTGGGATAATGGGGTGTTTCGGGTTCTTGAAGACGAAGCCGAAGAGCAGGAAGGAGCGGGGAAAGTCCGGGTCAGAAGCCCTAGCTGTTTCCGCTACTACAACTTCGTCTTCCAATTACGAAACTAGCCGATCGCATGACTCGACCGGTGGGAAGCAGACCAGTAAATCCTCAGTCTCGACTTCGTCGCAGCCGAGCATCTCGGCCATGTTTGAGGAGAAAGCTGGCGTTCTCCGCGTTTTCGAGCTCGCCGAGCTGCGGAGCGCTACTAATGATTTCAATCGGACGCTTAAGATTGGAGAAGGAGGGTTTGGGAGCGTTTATAAAGGATTCATTAAGCCTTTGGATGAGAAAAGCGGTAGAATTACGGTGGCCGTGAAGACCCTAAATCAGAGAAGTTTGCAGGTACTGTTTGGATTACTATTTAATTGAGCTGTATTTTGTTGTTTTTTGAACCAAAATTATAAAAAAATTTAAAATAAAGGGCTGGCGTCAAATTTTTGGCACTGGTCATTGTCTGCTTCTTGAAATAATTTAAATTAGTATTAGATTTGAATGTTTCCTGCGTGTAGAATTGATGGAGATTGAACTGTTACCATCATTCCAAAGCTTACATAAAAACGTGTGGGAATATATAAATAGGAAACTTAGAAGAAAGCAGCAAGGACCGAATTGAAACTCTAGAATGATGCGATAATTTTTTATTTTAGAAATCATATTTTTGTTTTGGCATTGCCCATCGGGGTAATTTCAGTTATGCTGCTATTTGAGGGCTGAGTCTGTACAGATAAGAATATTGTCATCTTCCATGATAGCTCAAGTTGTTTAGTTAGCAACGGTTCTTTCTACACTTGTTGAAACTTTCTTGTAAATGTTATCCATATTGCTGTAGTATTTAGTGTGAAGTGGAACTACGTAGTTTAATGTGCTGAGCAGTTTTTCTGTGATTGTAACAATAGCGCCATGGAAGATAAACAGGGCATTAGCTTTTTGTCACTGCGTGGGCAAATTGTGTAGTCTTTTATAGTTAAATTAGGTTATATTTTACTTTTCGTTTTATAACAAAAATTCTATGTAGCAAGTTGTTCATGTAATATGTTCAATGACTAGTTATAAAATTTAATTTCATTGTTTAAAAAAAGTCCAATTAACCTTTGCTAATAACATGTCTTCAAAGATCAATAATTTTTCACATTTTCAAATTCTATTATCTTAATAATGGGTACTTATTTCTTTTAATCATTTTCTTCTTGCTCTTAAATCAAACATCCATAACTGATACACTATGTTGTGTGGCCAAACTTTCTCTTGAAATCTCCTTTTATTTGGCTAAAGAATTTATTATTTTCAAGTGAAAAAATGTTCATTGTGAATTGATTGCTCCAATTTTAAAATTAATTAAGTGTTCTTCCCATTTCTTAAAATATATATTCGTTAAGTTCACATATTTCTATGAAACTAAATACAATTTCTCCCATTGCATTTTGTCTCTTATTACATACCCACCATGAAATTTCTCATATCCTACTAGAACCTATAGGTGCATTTGTGCAAACTTTAGCAATTATTCTTTCTCTCTAGTACATTATAAAAGTTTATTTATTTTCTACTGCATTTTATTTTTCTAACTTTCTTCAATGTCAATTTGAGAACATAAGTACGAATCACATTGATAATGTCCTTATAATTAACTTAATAACAACCACTTTTTGCTAACATTCTTCACCTCTAGAATTTTATCTTTGAACTCTATATATACTATTATTCCTATGATTTCTTATCATTAACATCTAAGCACACAATTAGCTTATAATTTTCTCTCATTTTCTTAGGTTTCTCCGTTTTCTATTTGGTTTCTTATAAACAAACATTATTGAATCTTTTTCTTGTCATTACATTATTTTTTTAATCTTCCCATTTTAAGTTCTAGAATTTCAAGCAACAAATTCAATCTAAGATTTTTGTCTTGTCAAGCCTTGTTTACTATTGGATTATGTCACACCTCTTATAGTTCACATCCTACCCAAACCTTGTATTCTTTTCTAACTAATCTACTCAAGTTGATATCTGATGCACCTTGGTATAAAAACAGCAACAAAATCCCAAAGATTCAACACAAAAATATTTTTTTATTGATAGAAAATCAAATACGAACAAAGAAAGATACAATGATCCTCTTTCGAGATGACCTTTTCTCCCAATCCCTAGACGCCGTTAGGATCCCTCACAAAAAGAAAAATGTAACACTCTTAAATCAAATTTTACATACAAATATAACATAAACCCTACTACTTATAGCTAACGATGAACAATAAATACTAAAATAACCCTCCCCCAATTCCCTCCCAAATCAACCCCCAAATATGTCCTCTTTAATTAGGAAATATCTCCTAATTAATCTCTCCCAAATCAACATGCATTCCTTATTAATTTTCCTCTCCTATTTGAATTCAAATAGGAGATCTTTCCCTCCTTAATTACCTCCTTCATTCCCTTCTTAATTACCCTCATAACATAATGAATTATTACTTTGTTGGGCCCACGAGAGGGGCCAAAATATCCCTTGATTTGATTTCAGGTTCCGCCCCCTCCACTGCCGTCTAAACCCTCTCTTGGCCTGCAAGTCGTAAACAATACTCCCCCGCCCCCCCCCCCCACAGATACCTCCTCAAGGTGGAAGGATGGGATGCTATCAAGGTTTTTTCAGCTGCTCAGTTTGTGGCCATGCTATAATCCACTAGAACCAAGCCAGAGCTTTTCTCTCCAGACATAGCCCTGCAGCTGCAAACTTCTCCTCATTCAACCCATTCATCAAGAAATACATCTCCACTCGGTATACCCACCCATAGGAATCCTCTTCTTCAAATATTGACATCCTCAACTTCCTCACCCTAGGATCATTACCACCCCAATAACTTCTTCCTTCTCCAGTGTATTGGTTGTCATGATCCCTCTATATTTCCCTTGTGTATCGAGGGTGGGACTCCCACATTTCTTCCATTCGTTTTTGCATGACACGATCCCATGATTCAGCTCGACCCCCTCCATCTTCGGTCGCCCACTCCCCTTTCCCGAAATGTTTCCCATAATGATCGGCCACTCCACCACACAATTCCCTCCTTGTTGTCTCCTCTCCCAGAAACACTCTTGATAGACGAAACTCTCCTCATCGAAGCCCTTTCGTCTGATCTCCTTTGCCTTATATATATAGCCAAGAAAATCCTGGTCAAATCTTGATTAGGGTTAGTAATTGGAATCACCGGTAGAATTTTGGATTGCATCTTCATGAGTTTCCTTAACATCTCTTTTATCCCTTTAAATTGACTCTCCATCCGATTCTCTATAGTTAAAGACTTCTTCATGCTGAATTTGAATTGCTCTATTTCGCCTTTCAACGCATCCACTTTCTTTGCTTCCATCTCTCCAATAATCTCGCTCTGATATCAATTTGATGCCTCTTGGTATCAAAACCAACAACAAACTTCAAGAGATTCAACACAAAAACATATTTTCTTATATAAAAAATCAAATACGAATAAAGCAAGATATAATGGTCCTCTTTCAAGGCTCTCCCAAACCCTAAATTCTACTAGGATCCTTCACAAAAAGAAAACTACAACACTCTCAAATCAAATTCTACATACAAATATAGCATAAACCCTATTACTTATAGCAAACAATAAACAATAAATACCAAAACAGCCCTCCTCCAATTTCTTCCCAAATCAGCCCCCAAATCAGTCCTCTTTAATTAAGAAATATCTCCTAATTAATCTCCCCCAAATTAGCCTACATTCCTTATTAATTTCCTCTCCTATTTGAATTCAAATAGGAGATCTTTCCCTCCTTCCTTAATTGCCTCCTTAATTCCCTCCTTAATTACCCTCCTAACATAATGAATTATTACTTTGTTGGGCCTCACAAGAGGGGCTGAAATCTCCCTGGATTTGGTTTCAGGTTCCGCCTCCTCCACTGTCGGTCTAGCCTCCCTTCGCCTGCAGTCGTAACAATATCCTTGCAAACTTTGTTTACTTCTCACAACTCTGGTTATATCATGGAACTGTGCTAACAGAGAGCATCTTAAGTCGAGCCAAATTTAAACTTGCATCAATTTAAGAATTTCAGCGTAATTTCGATTGGTTGTCAACTTAAAAGTAATACTTAACCTTTTTCACCAAGTCTCAGATGAACAATAATAATTTTCTTTGGCCGGCTTCAATATCAAATATTAGAGGATTTCAATGTTGGAGACCTACTCGTGGATTGGTGTACCTCTAGAAAGTGAAAGGTTGGTGGGTATTTGAATATTAGTGGAGAGAAGTCGATTGTTTTGGCTATGGAGGGAAAGAAGGGGATAGTGAGGAGGGGAAGCGTGAGATTGATTGGTTACTCGAAACCTAGCTCAGACTAGTGCAAGGTCAAATATGATGTAAAGCGATTCATCTTGGGTCATTAAAGGATATTCAATGTATTAAAAACGACCATGTGGTACATCAGTTAGTATGCCTCTTGGCACACTTAGAGATAACATGATAGAAGTGGAGCAATAATATCAATGATTATAGTTTCTAATGAGCATATTATCATTTTCCTTGTCTATTAGTGCAAACTCTTTTTTTTTTCATTCACTAGATTCATTGTCATGTTTCACACTCTCTGTGATATTCTCTAGAATTAAAAGCGTAAATAGGTTTAAGCGTGCGAAATGTTTATTAGAATCAGGCCAAATCAGTTGGATAGTCTAACCCTTTTAACATTTCCTCATTAACTAAAGTGTTGAAGTCCTTCGTAGGGGAACCTAATCTTGTGTAAGGCGCTGATAATTTGTTTACTTAGTGTGTGTAGGAATGACTCGAGCTACTTGACATGTACATCATCCTCAACCGATTCTTCTTGTTGATTTGGAAGTAAGGCATTTTAGCCTTGTCAAACTTGCTCATAGATATGATCATTTCTCATCCAATTACTATGATGAGTATGACCTTCAAACAAATTCTAAGCTGACTTTACGTTATGAAATGGAATCCCTTATACTATTTAGTTGTGCTCTGGATTGGACAAATGTTATAAAGAATGTTAGATTGGACTAAACAATTTATAAGAGCATCAGTAATAAGAATAATATCCTAAATGAGATAAGGGCCAAAATGATCCACAACTATTTAAAAGTATTATTTTAATGCCTTTAATTTTAATGCCTTTACTTTTAAATGGGACCTAAATAATCCCATAAAAGGGCTAATTTGGTCCCTATTTAAAGAGTGAAGGGACCAAATTGACACTTTTATATAGTCAGGGATTATTTTGGTCCTTTAAAAAAGTTAGGGGACCAATTTGATTATTTTCTCTATCCTAACTTTGTGTTGATTAACAAAAAAGGCTGTTGTGCATGGTGTTGATTGTAAAGCAAACATTTTGGAGGCTACCATGTCTGCCTCCTATAGATGGTTAAGGAACTCATGTTCTGGGCCAGATTTGGGCCACATATATCATTATTTTGTCATAGGAGGCTGCATGGCAGCATTGACAAGTTGTGGCCAATAATTATTTGTTTTCAAGGAAATGACTAGAGAACCATGTTATCAAACAATCCAGTGAAGAAATAATTTCTAAGAAATCACCTATTGCATGGAAGGGGTTTCAATGAGGAAGCTTATGAGTTAAAGGGTGATTTAAAATTTTAAATGACAATGGTGGCAGTGTTGATGGTGATGAATGAAGTTTACTAGACGATGACATTTCACTTCAACAGATTCTCTAAGGGTTGGTGCTTGTTATTATGTCTAACTTTATGTATTTTAAGAGGTTAATACATAAAAGATATACTTTTGTCAAACCATGGCTAAAGTATCAAAATTTTATTTTTAGTTTTTCTCACTTCACTTTAGTAGATATTTGCCATTGGTTTATTTTGGCTGTCAGTTGATTGATTTACTCCAATGTTAAACGCTCTTTTCAAATTCAGCTTTTGTGCTTTTGTATCTGTACTATGCTTACTGTTGTGTTATTTGGCGGTTGTCTCGTGAACATATTTTCCTATGGCTGACTTTCTCTTTGAAAGTTACCGCATAAGGATCTAATATGTGCCAATAATTTTTTGTGGGTTTTTTTTTTTTTTCTATATATGAGAAATCTTTAAGATCTTTTCTTTGCATGAACTTTAATTTTCTTGCTTTCTGAGTGATTGTTAAATCCGATGCTTATAACTGTAATTAAAGCGAAGTATTTTCTCTGGGGGATTTTTTTTTTCATGATTCAACTTCTATTGGATACTGTAATGATGTTAAATTTCTTTCGCAAATTTCCACAAGTCAATATTTCTAGTTTATTTAATTATGCTTAAATATATTGTACTTCTATATATTATTTTCTGTCAGGGTCATAAGCAATGGTTGGCTGAAGTTCAATTTCTGGGAGTTCTTGAGCACCCAAATCTTGTGAAACTCATAGGTTACTGTTCTGATGAGGATGAAAGAGGGATACAAAGGCTATTGGTTTATGAATACATGCCAAATAAGAGTTTAGAATACCATCTATTCAACAGAGCTGCCCCTCCCCTTCCCTGGAATGTACGACTGAAGATTGCTTTGGGAGCTGCAGAAGGCTTGGCTTTTCTGCATGAAGGTTTAGAACTTCAGGTTCCTATTCATAAACTTTTCTTATTAATTGTAATGCACTGTGATTTATGTGTTATCCTCCATCCATGATGATTAAATTCTAAGAAAGTAATGCAAAAACATGGACAAAATGCAATTTGTTGCTTTGTTTAATGAAATACCTTGTCAATAAACGTACAAACTGGATTTGATTCTGTTACTTTCATAATATCTGTGTAAAAGAACAAGAAATATGAAAGGCAGAGTTATGAAACTGCAGTAAACATTTGATTGAGACCATAGCTGAAATTTTGCAATCCCTAAGTTAAAAAAAGAATTAAATAACATTGAAAGATGCCAAAAAAATTGCATACTCTCATGGTCTTCATAATGATGGTTACGTTGTAGGCTATGAAAACCCCCATCCAAATCTGTTCATGTATAGTAAAGTTATTTTGAGTTGTTTTTTTTTAAAACAAATGGGATATCAGATAAGATATTACTTAAAGATTTTGTTCTCTAGCAAGGACTTCATGTTATAGTTCAAAGTTTCCCATAGGCATAAGATTTTATGATTAATTATCTCTTGAGACCATGAAAGAGAATTTTTTTATTACGGCTATTCGGTATGCTTTATAATGCTTGGATTTTACCCGAAGCAATTTGGATTGGGGAGAAATATATACCACTTCTCACAATAGATGTTGGGGAAATGAGAACAAACCTGATCATGATTCCATGGTTTCGTTGTCTCAAGTTCTCACGATGGTGAATTTCATTATTTGATGTTCTTGTTGGTACCTAACGTGTCATTGAAATGCGTGTAAGATTTTGCTTTAAGGCGGTTGACATGCTCTTTGGATCATGCAAGCACGTATCATCAAGCTAAATTAGAAAAGTTTTTAATTATATGTGAAGAAAAATGTCTACCATTTGAAACCATCAAAGCTCAATTATTTGTCTTGTTTGTGACCTTTTTTATATCAAAAACTGTTTATGGTTTCACATTCAGGTTCATTTAATTGTATTTTAGTCATTTGCATAATTTATGGTTCATGCAGGGTTATTTTTCTTTCATTTGCAAGTGCGATAGGAGTGTGTGTATTGTGATTTAAAATTTCTTACAAGTGTTTGAAATTATTTATTCGGTAAACATTTTGTTCACGCTTTTGCCTAGGCAGGTCCTGTGTAGGAAGAATTTACAACTATAAATAAGAGTGCCTTGCATGTTATTTTCCCATTTAATTATATGCTATTCCATGGGATAATGAGGAGTTCCTGCTTTTATCCATTGGCAAGCTACTGGAGTTTCATATGTTCATTTTTGGTCATTTTACACGACTTATAGTATAATTTTAGGTGTTTTTTTAATCTTAATTCTACGCTTTTCACGTTTTTTCATTGTGAAGGCATTTTGTCCCAAAATTATTTTTGTTTGATCATTTAGGTGAATTTAGTCAGCATTTTTGTTCACCCCAACATAAGGAGTACTAGAAAATCTAACAGGTCTTCCCATCATGCTAAAAAATGCATGTATAGATAGTGTGCAAGAGATACCATGATAAAAAACAAGTTCCCCGCCATTTCAAGAAAGGCATATATAGGTTGTGGCACTTAGACAACTAGTGTTCATTCTGACCATTTTTAGAAATGTGTTACAGACATGATTGTGGGTTCCCTACACAGAAAAAAAAAATCCTAGATACATTAAGAAAGACATTTATGGGGATTATGCAAGGTGACGAGGCCACTTTGTTTTCCTAGCGTGATGTTGTGACATGCTCATGAGGATGAATGAGAGATTTAAAGAAAATGTGAAAGAGATGGAGGAGAGAGACAAGTGGTGATGTAGAACGGGGAGGAGGCTTGACTCCTAAACGTCTGGGACAGCGGTTCCGAGCAGTTCTAGGCAGCACTGGTCGCTCCTAGAGGGGCTGGACAGCAGCAAACTGCTGCGGGAAACTCTGGACAGCATATTGGAGGTCTTGGGAAGATCCTGGACAGCTGTTTGAAGCCTTCGCGATGGTGATACGGTAAAGGAATTCTTGCTGGAGTTGATGGGCAGCAAGCTGTCCTTCTTTGGACAGCAACCGGAAGGTTTATAGGTTCAAAACTGTGGAGTTTCCTTTGCTGGAATCTCAAAACAGCCAAGGAGAACACTCAGGAATATGAAGAAACAGGTTTGGAAGCAAGGTTACGGTCCAGGAGGGGGAGAATAAGAGATTAAATCTTACCTAATTGATTTCCTAATTAAGGTAAGAAATAAAAGGAAAGGGGGAGGGAGAGGGGCCGGTCCAAAGGGGGATGGAAGGATAGGATTTAATTGAATTAAATTAGAGGTGGGCCCAATCAATCAATTAGCTATTTGATTAAATCTGAAAATTGATTTCAGATTTAAAAGATTAGGAAAGTTTCCAAATTTAAGAACAAGTCATTTGGAAAGAATTCAAAATTCAAATGTCATGAAATTTGGATTGAAAGGGGCTTAATTTGGGGAGTTAATAAGGGAGTAATAATGGCTAGAATTAATGAGAGAGGGGGATTTAATGAGGTTAATTAAGACTTCTTAATTTGGTTTAAAGATTAGGGAAGAAAATAATTCACTCCAATTTAAGTTTCAAATTCAAATGGATGTAAATTAAGAACTTTCCTAAAATAGAATCACTAATTTAGGAAAGAATTTGAATTTTGAATTTGAATAATTTCAAATTCAAATCATTCCCTAAATTAACCCAACCAAATTAGGAAATCCCAAAGAGGGTGGGAGGAAAGGTGAGGCCGGCGGCTAGGGAGCCATGGCCGGCGGTTGGAGGATCTTCGGGTGAGGTGGCCGGTTAATAAACGAAAATAAAACAAAGTGATCTCGGTCGTCGATCTTCAGCTCCTCCTCGGATTGGCATGGACGGTTGGATGTCCGCATCAAGTGGCCAATGAGAGACTCAGGCGGTGGATCAAGCACTATTGGCATGAAGCAAGGGACAAGGATTGGGAGAGTAGATAAAAAAGGTAGAAAGTTAGCGCATATGAAATTTGTATAAGATTTTTTTTTTAAGGGAATCGGATGACCCTCATTATAACCCCTCAAAAGGCATTTGAACAATGATTATCTCAATGCTTGGGGCTGTTAGGACATCCCCAAAATCAAGGGTCAAAAAATTACCCCATATATATTTTATTTCCATATATTGTTTCCTTTTTTTTATTCTTTTGTGTGTGTGGGGGGAGGGGGGAGGGGGGGGGATTGTATGTGTGTGCAAACTCTCTTGACAATTTTTTTTCCTTGCATCCCATGCAAATCAGTTTATGCCTCCACCTAAGCACATAGAAGGCTATCTGGACTATTTTAATGCCTTGAATGCATTGGAGTTGCTCAGGTGGATGAGTGGCTTTACCCTTAGAGATATGATACAAAATGAGCACTTACGTGAAAAGGTTGGAGTAACTCCAGTAGAAGATAAGATTAGAGAGAGTTGCCTTAGATGGTTTGGTCACATAAAACGGCGACCTTCCGATGACCCGGTTAGGAGAGTAGAGGTATTAGATTTGACTTATGTTAAGAAAGGTAGAGGCAGACCTACAAAGACTTGGTTAGAAAATATTAGGAATGATCTTTCTTCATTAGATTTAAACGAGAATTTGATTTTTAATAGGACATAATGGAGAAAACGGATTCCTGTAGCCGACCCCACGTAGTAGGATAAAGGCTTGATGTTGTTGTTGTTGAATGCATTGGAGTTGCCTGTTTAGTTGAGCAATGAATTTAGTCAATCTTGTGTCATGTTATATTTGTTTTTATTGTCATTGCATTTGATCCAATCAGCTTGTGGATTACATTTATGGTATTCTTGTTTGTTGCTTTAATATGTTTGGTATGGATGCTAGACTTTAAGATTACGGTCATTAGAAAAGCAATATGTGGTGGATTTATGCAAACATATTGAAAGAAAAATTTTAAATGGCATGTGTACCATGTGATTGTAATAGGAAATACTTGAGTTCGCAAGTAACCCTAAGGGAAATACTTGAGTTCGCAAGCAAACCTAACAATGATTTGTGAAAAATAGCAAGAAAACTGCTGATTGCAGCAGAAAACAGCAACGTCACAATAATCTTCTTGAGAATATGGAGAAAATTGAGAAAAAAATGAAGAATTCCACTAGCAGATGCAGGAAAATAGTAAACGATACAAGTTTCTTAAATTCGAGAAGAAGAAACAACTCTCCAAATCTCTAGCCAAGCAGCCCAAATGACAAATCCTAGATCTCAAGTTTGATTTCAAACTCAAGATGAAAACCCTAATTCTCCCAAAGGAACTAATTAAAATAAAGAGAACAAATACAAAATCCCTAAACAGCCCCTAATTCAAATTTTCCCTCTCAAAATAGGTTTAATTAAGTCGTGGGCCACATCCCTCCAACCGGCCCCTCTCTCTTTTCCCCTTGGTTCCGCCCCCTCTTGTAGCAAAGAACCGGTCCAGGTTGGACCGGTTCAATTGGCCCTAGGGCCAGCCTAACAGATTGGTCGTGTTGTTGTGTTTTGTGAAGGATTTGAGCGTTGCCATAGTGTTGTAGTTGTTGTTGGTTGCATTTTGTTCTTTTATTTGTGCCTCATCCTATTCCACTCTTTATTTTAGAGTAAAAGCTCAAAATAGTCCCCCAACTATTGATAAATTTCTAATTTAGTTCTAGAGTTTCGTATTTCTCCAATTATACCCTCAATTATTAAGAATCTATGTTGCACCGATACGGATACGGCGACACGGATACGACACGATACGGACACGGGATACATCAATTCTTAAAAATACAGGATATGAGTACGGCGCGGACACGGTATTATAATTTATAAATCATACATAAAAATTAAGAAAGCAATTAAAACATAATATTTGAAATTACAAAAAAAAATGAAAGTAACATCATTTGTAACCTTGTAGCTTATAATATCAAAATAAAAGTAAACATTTAATGTTTAGTACAACAATAAAAGCATAAGCATAAATTTTCTATCACATAAAGTTTTAACTATTGAGTAGAAGGAATGATATGATTAGCTTCTTCAGTGGTTTGTCTTTGAACTTCTATATCATCTTCAATAAATATCATAGCTTCTAATTTAGGCTCATCAACTGAAATATTAGAAATTTCTAATATTCCCATATCATCAAGATACTCAAATCCATCTCTGAAATGAGAGAAACTCAGTCGCAGCCGCGGAAGTAAATACGACGGATCTTTTTTTCAGATTTTTTTGTTTTTTAATGGACATGTGTATCGGATACGCATGTCCTTTTGAAATTAAATAGTATTTTAATTGGATAAGGCAAAGCCATATCCGACACGTATCGGTGCCATATCGGAGGCGTATCCGTGTATCGGTGTATCGGATACAACACGACTTCATAAATAGGTGTATCGGTGCAAGATAGTTAAGATTTGAGTCAACTTAATCCCAAAGCCTAAAATAAGAGTTAAAGTTAACCCTCAATTATTAAGACTTGAGTCAATTTAGTCCCAAAGTCTAAAATAAGAGTTAAAGTAAATTCCAAAGTTAAATATGAAGATTTTTTTAGTTATATTTTTTTAAAGCGAAATCTAATTTAATTGTAATTTTTATTATGTTAGATTTCGCTCTAAAAAAATACTAAAAATACCCTTCATATTTTACTTTGGAGTTAACTTTAATTCTTATTTCAGGTTTTGGGACTATATTGACTCAATTATTTATAGTTGAGGGACTAAATTAATGCAATGCAAAATTTTGGGACTAAATTGGACATTTATTAATAGTCAGGGGATTATTTTGAACTTTTACTTCTTTATTTTGGGCTTATTTTTTTTTTATGTAGAATTTGAATTGAGAGTGCTGTAGTATTTTTTTTTTGTAAGGGATCTTAGCCGTGTTTAGGGTTTGGAAGGAAATGTCCTCTCGAAAGAGAACCATTGTATCTTGTTTTGTTCATATTTGATTTCCTATCAATAAAAATCTATCTTTTTGTTGAATTTCTTGGAATTTGTTGTTGTTTTTGATACCAAGGTTCATCACATGCACTAGAATCTTTGCATTCACAAAAGAAATTAGGACAGAGAAATGCTAAAAAGATTCAATATTTGCAAAAAATAAAATAAAAATTCAAACTTGCTATTTAATTTCTAGGAAATCGTCTTCTATGGGCTATTTTGCTAACCTTTTAGCTTTTTTTTTTTGTGTGTGTGGTTAATTAAAAAAAAAGCCCATATATTTAACTTTAACATATAATCCCCATTTATTTTTGAATTATACACATAACACCCATAGCTCTCAGATATGTGTATAAAAACTTACGCAGACTATGCGTGAGGGGTTGTGTGTATTTTTGAAAATAATAGGGGTATGCATATGATCTTTTATCAGGAGAACATTAAATATTGGACTTCTAAAGTTATAATGGCTACATCTAATAACTTCACGTATGTATTCACGCCTCTTGGCTAGTTTAACTCATAATAGAACATGCATTAACGTGATTTATTTTATTTTATTGTCAAATTATCTACGATTTGCTTTGGATTTTCGAGTTATTTGGTATACTATTTCGTTTTAGTTACCTTGTTTTTAGATGCAGCACAGTTTCTCACTAAAATTCTCTTCTGGACAGGTCATTTACAGGGACTTCAAAACATCAAATGTCTTGCTAGATATTGATTTTAAGCCTAAATTGTCTGATTTTGGGCTTGCAAGGGAGGGTCCTGCAGGAGACAATACTCATGTGTCTACAGCGGTAAGTCCTGTTTGAGTTATAACCAGTATGTGTTAGTTTTTTTTCTGGTATCTAAAACTGATGGAAATTTGCTCACATCAAAAAGGAATGAACTGATTAAACTCGAGCTTTGCCAAAGGAAAATTTTTAGATATCCTGCGAAATTTTGGTCAGGATAGATCTCAAATTTATTGCATTTGCTCAGTTAAAATTTATATTGAACTCATTTTAAAATAAATTTAATTGCTTTGAAATCTATCGTGAGAGATTCATCCTGGTAAAAAATTTGATTAGGATGTTTGGAACCAATTTTTTTCGTTTGCCAATTTTTCTTAAGTTTCACTTTATCTCATATATTATGAATGTTTTACTGGGAGTAAGATGATCATTTCCAAGCTTAGAAATTATACCTATGCTAATGCTTGATCTATATTTTTTCAAATTATGCCCCTATTTTACCTGTAAAGCCTTTAATCCTTATGGAGATTTGAGTATCTATTAACTTTTCTGCTTTTTTGCTTCTACATGTAAGGAAATTCTGGGTTGTTTTTTATTATAGTCAACCGTTGGTTTTCATGGTAACTTTGTTTTAGAGTAAATAATCAAAATAGTTCCCAAATTTTTTAAGTTTGTCTATTTTAGTTGTAAATGAGGATGCTCAAGTGGATGAGTGGCTTTACCCTTAGAGATAGGATACAAAATGAGCATATACGTGAAAAGGTTGGAGTTGCTCCAGTGGAAATAAGATTAGAGAGAGTCTCGCCTTAGATGGTTTGGTCACATTAAATGGATGCCTTCTGACGACCCGGTTAGGAGAGTTGAGGTATTGGATTTGACTTATGTTAAGAAAGGTAGAGGTAGACCTAAAACAACTTGGTTAGAAAATATTAGAAATGATCTTTCTTTAATAGATTTAAATGAGCATTTGACTTTTAACAGGACAAAATAGCAAAAAAGGATTCATGTAGCCAACCTCACGTAGTGGGACAAAGACTTGATGTTGTTGTTGTTGTTATTGTATTTTAGTTGTAAATGTTTTTGGGTTTTCTTCAACGCACTAAATATGAATCAATTTGGTCACACCATCAACTTATAAAAAATCTGTGGGGGAAGCTTTCTATGAAAACATTTTAGACCTAGCTCAAACTACTTGAATTGAATTTAAAAAATCTCCTCTCAAATTCCATTTAATTATAGAATATAAAGCTTTGTATGAGTCTGTGAAATTATTTTCTGGTATGATCAGGTAGTAGGTACCTATGGCTATGCTGCACCAGACTACATAGAAACAGGCCATCTTACAACCAAGAGTGATGTATGGAGCTTTGGAGTAGTCCTCTATGAACTCCTCACCGGTCGCCGCTCCCTCGATAGAAACCGTCCAACTAACGAACAAAAGCTTTTGGATTGGGTTAAACAGTTCCCGATCGAAAGTAAGAGATTCAACATGATTATGGATCCAAAGTTGAGATACCAGTATTCTCTGAAAACTGCAAGAGAAGTTGCTAAGCTTGCAAATAGTTGCCTAGTGAAGCATGCCAAGGAAAGACCCAAGATGAGTGAAATTGTACAAGTGATAAAACAAGCTGTGGAAATGACTGAAATAGCTTCAGGTGGGAAGGTAGAGGCCAAAGAAGAGAATAGTGCTGTGGCTGATTTGGACAAGGGGAAGCGACCTGAATCATCAAATTGTTAAATGATGATAAAGGGAAGCTGTTTCAGGAAGAAAAACCTCTCCTTGTTCTGATTTTTTTATGTTTTTTTGGAATTAAATTGTAGTAAATGAGAGAATTTGATGGCTACCTATATTTATTCATCATTTGTTATTGTTGTAATTAGTATGGATTTGAGAACAATTTGATGATATTTTGAAGCATTTTAACTATAAATGTACATTTTTTTTCTTACTGAATTCATGGAAGTTGGTGAATTGAAATATTATTGTTATGATGGTATGAAACTTCAATGTTGATGAACATGGATGGAACTATAAATTTGTGTGGGCATGCAATATTTGGGAACATGCAAGATGAACATTGGAAATGGAGGGATAGTTCCCAAGTGGTGCCAATTCTTGTTTTGATTAGGTCAATGTAATCATTATTTAAATTTAGGGGGTATAAGATTTAGTTTAGCTCTCTCATGAAAGATCTAGATTTTAGGGTTACTTGAATTTTGATCATTGATTAACTTACTTAGTTGGGTTTGTCACAAAAAATATAAATTTAGTTAAAAACCTAATTTAGCTCTTCAAGATATATTCTAATTTTATAAGCCTAAATTTATTTTTGGGTTAGCTTGTCGAGTTGGGTTCGGATTATCAAAACTTAAAATAACGATCTATGTGATCATTAAGGTTTTGTTTGGGACAACTTTCTTGTTGCTTTTTAAAGTAGCTTGTTAGTGCAAAAATAAATTTAAACTTAAGATTTTTATATTAGAAAACTGTTTTAAAAAGCAACCAGAATATCGTCCCAAACGAAACTTAAGTTTTCAATAACACGCAACATAATCCAATAACCAATGAAAATTCAAAGATCTTGTGAGTTTTGTAATTACAAAATGAATGGCCTACTTTTGACATTTGACTGGATCTCTTAAATTAAATTTCTATCAAAATTATTATAAAATTATTCATATTATGTAAATTAACTCTAAAGTAGCCTATGTATATATAATAAAGAGTGTTTCTAGTATTAAAACCACAAAATTGAAAAATGATTCTATGTTTGTAATGAGATCACTCTTATTTATTAACAACTTTAATTCCTTTGAAAGCATATTATAATATATCTCTGTTATTAATTTTTATTTTAGCTTCAAGAGTTGTCACTCTATCTTACCAATAAATAAAAGAAATTCTTAAACATTAACTCCTACCTCCTATCAATGAATGTACCCCAATAGATTAGTAAACAACCCTTTTTCCTCAAGAACTCCGAAGAAAAATATTACAACAATGAAGTTTGAGAAGATGGGTGTAGAAGGTTGGAATTATTATTGTTGGAGGGACAATTAAGTTTTTTTTAATCTTATATTATATTATGTTGACCAATTTAACTAGTAGGACCTAATTCAGATTCCCTATCAACCAAAGCCCTACATGAGGTCCTGGTTGCGTCCCATTGGGTACCCAAACTCTACGCGGGTGGGCTTTGCCCACCCATGCCCATTCATGACGACTTTTGGGTTTTCGTGTCCACCCATACCCACCCACTTTCAATGCTTTTTGAACTCGATATGTCACAAACTGATGGCCTTGAGGCTTATTGCACTTTGCTCTGAGTGTAAACTCTCAAGCCACATATCAAAATTCATCATGATAGCATCGCGGTTCATTTTGTGTACTTCACACTGAGAATTACGGTAATATACAACATACATTGATTAGCACTGTAAATCAATTTATCCTCCAATGTTGACTACTTATCGATGAGGCTAGGCATACCCATACCCACCCATACCTATTGTGTATGGGTGGGTACGTGGTTGGGTGTGGGCATGGGTACCCAATGCAAGGCTCTGCTATTAACATCATGGATCTCATGTTTGATCTATTTGATTTGGTCCACATGTTGATCTCAACCTAAATTAATATAGATGAATTATGATAATTCACTTTTCCTTCGTTCCTCTCATGTAAACCTAATCACCTAAGGATAATACTACTTTGTAATGCAAAAGGTTAAAAGCCATTGTGCATCAAAATGATTATATTTGGAAGTAAGACCTATATAAATCAAAGAGTGATGCTAAGCTAGAGACTAAGAACTCTATGTGATAAGTTATTGATTAATATTCCTCCATAAATAATAACTAATTAAATTTACATCATTTGTTTTGTGCTCAATAACTTCTATATAAGATTGTCATTAATAATTTTTTCGTGCATTTACTTACAGAATATTTTTTGTATGTTATTTACATATCTAACAGTCAAAACATTAATATTACATGCATACCACCCATAGAATAAATATGGATGCATGAAATGAAAATTTAAAGTTTATAGGGTGATTAGCGGTATGAATGAAATATACATGTGGTATATTTGGTATATTAATATTTTTGGTGTTAGATATGCAAATAACATGAAATAAAGTGGTATGTATGTAAATCGCCCTAATTTTTTAGACCAAGAATTATTGAATATATGCTTGCTTCTACGTAAATGGCATGCGGCTACTCCTCAAATCACCTGAAATAGCCAACATATTAGACACTACATATCTATATTATTATAATGAAAACTAGAGAAAAACTTCACCTTCTTTTTAGCCACTCAATGATCACCACTTAGCCATCTTTTAGGTTATCTCTGTAGTTAGCAGTAAGCACACCTCTCTATCTTCTTTTAATGAAGTGACACTAGAGAGATGGAGGAGTTGAAGCAATTGTGCAAAGAGGCATTTAAGCCTCTCACAATTTAGAAACTTCCTTATGCCCTACCTTCACATCATCACTATTCACATTCCTCATGAGCCTTTATCAAATAGTAAGGTGAACATTCAAAACTTAAGAGCTCCATTGCTAAACATTATATTTGAAATTATAAAGAAGATGACAAGTAATAATATTCAATTCTCTCTCTCTCTCTCTCTCTCTCTCTCTCTCTCTCTCTCTCTCCTCGTTCATAATTTATAACCCTCCAACATTTCTTTACTAACCAAAAATTACACTAATACTTCAAGGTTGATATAATTGCATTTCAATTAGTCTTTAGCATCATTTCAATTAGTCTTTAGCGTACACATTTTATTCTCTACACTTCATTTTCCCTACTACAACTCATATTAGATCTAGGGTGTCAAAACGGGATAGTAAGTCAATTTTGACCCGAAATTGTGATCCTACCTGAACCCGATCAACCTAAATTAGACTTGTTTAATAAACGAGACTCAAATTTGACCCGCTAACAATCTAAACCTGACCCATTAATCCATTTTAATTAAAAAAAATTATGACTTGTTAATGATAAATTTTAGATCAATTATTAAGAAGACGATCATACTAGAAAATAAAAAAAAAAATCAAGAAAAAAAATAAATATAACTTTCAGATCAAAATTGAATTAGTTGATCAATTTGAATTCGGCTTATTTTATAAACATGTCAAAATTCATATCTCAATCCAAATACTTTTATTAAACATGTCCAAATTATTTGGGTCGGTCCAATCCAACGTCCGATTAACAATCGGGTCATGACACTCCATCAGAGCGAGAAATTATTCTGTGCGGACACCGCATATAACTCTGTATTCGGAGACGAATCAAGCACATCACCCCATACACAACACAAAAGACAGTGGGTGCGAACAAAACAAAGAGATGACCTGACTTGCTGTGATTCTACTCGAACGGCAATCCATTGTCAGCACATTATAATTAAGGGGTTTTTACATACATACCACTTTATTCCTTATATTTTACATATTTAACACCTAAAACTTAAATATTACACAACTACAACTCAAACACAAACTTAACCTCATATCTGCCACTCTGTTTCACTCTGCTCACTCCGTTTCATCTTCCTGTAATTTCCCGCAAAATCCCGAAGGCTGGAGAAAAGCTTGCTTTGCAACGTGTTGTGTCGACTTACTGATTTTGCCTTCTTCTATTTTGTCGCACAGAAGCTTTAGGTTAGGTAAATCCCGTCTGCCTTCTTCCGTTTTGTCGCATAGCTGCAATTGGTTAATTTCCATCCAGAGGAGCTGCATAGCTATGATGCATTAGATATTTTTACATTTTTTGTCTAAAAATGTGCTGTTCAATTTGTCTTATTATTTCAAGTTACAGTTGAAGAAGAAATTGCTAGTGGGTGGCATACTTTGTGTATAATGGATTGTGATGATTTATGTGGAGAGAAGGAAGGGCATCTTTTTGTTACAATTAAATATGGAGGATTTTGGGTTGATACAAATGATAACTTATAAAGAGATATAATGCTGGCAAACAAAGGACTGCCAAAATTGAGAAAGGAAGTATGAATTTTTTTATGCTCAAAACAGAGATTCTTAAAATATGTCCATGGCTTAAAGGGTATAAATATAGTATGCATTATCACATTCACAAAACATCACCGAAGGAATACAAAATTATAAATACTGACGTAGACGTGGTAGAGATGGTTAAAGTTTCAAGTGGAAATTTTCGTGATGAGTTAGTTATCTCAGTAGAAGAGGTAGATAGAGAGCAATCAAACACAAACCTCATGGGGGTTGTTGGTGCTGAATATATGGCAGAATGTTCTATGATCCATAATGGTTGTATTTCAAGTGTTCATACTACAAGTGCTATAGATATAGGTATTGGCACCTTCTTCAATGATGAAAAAAGTTTCAAGAATGCTCTCCGATCAGTTGCCATAAAGGAGAACTTTGGGGTTCGGATAAAAGCCAGCGATAAGAAACGTGTGATTGCGAGTTGTTCCTATCAAGGTTGTGAATGGAGAATTCTAGCCTCTTTATGTGAAGACACTCACACATGTCCTGGGATAAATCGAGCTGGGAATAGGCTAGTAACATCTGCTTGGGTTGCCAACGAGATACAGAAGATGGTAGAGAGGTACCCAGATATCCCACCAAAAGAAATAAATAGTAGTCTAGAAAAAGAGTTTGGCTTATCCTTACCTTATATAAAGCTTTGGAGGGCAAGAGAGGAAGCCCATGATGCTTTATTTGGTTTAGTTGATGACAACTATAAATGGGTTCCAACATTGGCAGTAGAACTCCTTCATAGAAATCCAGGATCACATATAACATATGCATTTAATAGTGAAGATCATTCATTCCAGAGGTTTTATGTTAGTTTTTTAAGGTATGTGCTGATGGATTTCTAACTGGGTGTAGACCACTTATAAGTTTGGATGCATGCCATCTTAAGTCGAAGTATCTAGGTTGCAAAACTAAACATAACAAAAACAACCTTTTATGCAGTCGACACAACACGTTACAAACACAAACGGATGGTTACAATTACAACGAAGACTTTCATCAAGAACATGATCCATTCAAGCATATTAATAACCTTCGCCTCAAACACTTTGCGCTCATCGTCTATACCAAAAGATGCATCTTCAACTTCATCTATCCATCTAAAATATCTGCAGTCGTCGTCAGTTCGGTTATTCACGCACCTATAAAATTTTCTTCCATTATTAGGTCCACGGTGGCAAGTGTACAATACACAATTCAGGTGACAGTGACAATAAACTTCAAATCATTGGCGTCCGTCTCTCGTAGCAGACGAATTCGTAGAACTCATTTGAAACGTTTTGGAATAAACCAACGTTTTCTGTAACAAAACAGATAGAACTGATGAATACAATACGAAAGCATTGAACTAATAATCAAACAATGTTTTCTTACAAACATTTGCATTATGTAACAAAACAAATAGAACTTTCACAGTTAATACGATTTACATTATGTAACAAAAAAAATATTTTTGCCACTAGCAATCGGACCGGAATTGTGGACCTGCAGCTCGCGATTTGAACATACCATTTCTGTGGCAGTAAACGATATACATGAATAGATAAAACTCATGGAACTCTATTAATTCTAATCAAAGAAGTTTAAAGCAGCTATTACGGTAGAAATATGAAAGCAAAATCGAAGATCTACCAAAAGGAGTAAAACCTGATTTTTATCAAAAGAAGTAGAGATGCGAATTTCGAGAAAAATCGAACCTAATGGTGATATATTGCATTGGAGTAAAGCAGTCCTAATTACGCGTCAAGATAATCTAAGTTTCAAGATCAACTCAATAAATAAGAGAAAACATCAGAACGAGGACTGTAATCTCCAAATATTCACGATAAGCCGCATCCACAGAGATTCAGAACCGTCACGCCCCCCAATGCTCCGACAAACCGGATAATCCATCTCTGCTCCCCGAACTCACCGATTTGCAGCTCAACAATGATTTGGTGATCGGACCTGATCGGATCCAGACGATTCCGTAAGAAGAGCGGCGAGGAAAATCTGCTGCCCGAGAGAAAGCTTCGGCGGAAAAACTCACGCTGGAATCCAAGTGGTGAAGAATTTTTAGGGCTAGCCGAAATACATCTCCCGCCGAAGCTCACACAGAAATAACGAGAGAGACGGAGTGAGCCATGTTTTTGACGGAGTGCAGATATGAGGTTAAGTTTGTGTTTGAGTTGTAGTTGCGTAATATTTAAGTTTTAGATGTTAGATGTGTAAAATATAAGTATGTATGTAAAAACCCCTATAATTAATCCATCAGAGGCTCAGAGCAAGGCCCAGACGGTATTCTTCTTTACCACTGTAGTTTCTCTTCTGCTTGGTCGTGCTCTGTGCTTCTTGGAGCCGTTGGACCGTCTAGGGTTTGTTTTTCCTCGTCGCCGTTGCTGCTTCGGCTTCGTGTGAAGCAGAGTTTTAAAAGAGTTGCTCAAGGAAGCTTCTTTAGACGGAGCTCACCGCGACGGCGACGTTGTTCCTGTTGGAAGCCACGACGGGGGCTCACCGCGAAGGTAAAAATCTTTCGTCCCATTCGCGCGCTTCTTCGGCTAAATCCCGTAAATCCAACTAACTACAGGATTTACGGGATTTAAAGCAAAACGGAGAAGGGATGGGATTTAAGTTTATGTAGAATTTTAAAGTTGTTATTTTTGCTGTTTGAAAGGATTCAGTCTAAATTCTGCTCAATCCTGCATCCAAACAGCTGCGTACAAAATCAAGGTGCCTGTGTAAGAGCATCTCTCGCCATGGAGAAGCGGCTAACATTGGTTCAAACAATGGCAGCAGCGGGACTTTTCTCCGCTGTCTCCTTCTGGTATCAATTCATCTGCTGGGACAGGTTTTGATCTTTTTTGGGTTCTAGGGTTTAGGTTTTTCAGCTCTCACTTTTCACCTTTGGATCGACAGGTACGGCTTCATGTTTGGGAGGGAATCTGCCCGCAAAGATCTCCAAGAACTCATCGATGATCTCCGCCGCGGCAACGCCATGCCCGATGCTTCCACATCCAATGAAGGTTCTTGAGAAATTCTCATTGAGGTATCCTATTCTGTTAGTTTTTCGATATTTTCACCGTTTCACGCTGTCAGATTTGTTGTTGAGGGGCTGCAATCCTTTCAAAGGCTAAGGTCATTGTGATTCTACTTACTGGTTATTGGCAATCAATGGGAAGATTTTTGCTAGAATAGTTTGATTGATTTTCCCGATTCTTCCATCAATTTATTTAGAATCCTGAATACGATCTTTTTTTATAATAAAACATTCAATGGGATATGAATTTGACTGTGTTTTTTATTTTCATTAGAAGTAATATTAATAGCTAATCTAATGCAACCACATGTGTTTTTTTATTTTCATATGAACTCTGTACGTCTCCGTCCAGTGTAAGGCTTTGTTTGGGATGGCTTTCTTTATGCTTCTTAAAGCAGCTTTTTATTACAAAATTTTTTTATTTTATACTAAAAAGATGCTTTAAGAAGCAGAAAGAAAGTCACCCAAAAGAAGCTTAAATCGCACACTTTCTCTACCACCATCCCACTTCTGCCATTGCCAACAAACCACAGCAACCCTGACACCACCGCCACCTCCTTCTCTTCATATTAACCAACCTTCTTTCTTCTCAAATTTTTTTCTTGAAAATTCTGATTTTTTTTGTCTGGATTACTTGCGAGGTGTAGTTCAAAAACTTTGTTGCATTATTACAAATTCATTTATGTATAATTAATTGTGAATTTTAAAATTTACCTTCGGTTATGTCGAACTACTTGTGTGGTGTACTTCAAGATGTGGTATGTGAGATGGTTGATTTGCATCTACAAGTTATTGAGACCATTGCATAAATAACTCCTATTTTAGAAGAGAATGCATCCACATATGAGGAAGCTTAGATCAAATGATTAATGTTTGATAGAACGTACAGGGTCATCGATATGTACTGCATGTGCCGGTTGATCATCCAGGACGAGCTTACTAATGCTTCAGGCTGCCACCTGATGCTTTCGTGAGTCTAAGGGACCTACTAGTGAGCCATGGTCATTTGAATGACATCAAAATATGCTCGCAGCAAAACAACTTGGCATCTTTCTATGTGAGGGTAGTGCATGCGCACAACTACAAACAATTATGTGAGTTCTTTTAGCATTCACTAAAAATTGTAAGCACATGCTTCAATCAGGTTCTGCGTGCTATTGTGTCTTTGGTAGATAACTTAATTAATTTACCCCCCCCCCTTAATCCCCCCCCCCCCCCAGATGCAGAATGTCATTTGTTTGTACTACAAATGAACAATTGTACCTTTAGAAATGCAATAGGTGCAATTAATGGTATATATTTTCCTACATTAGTAATTATTATGGGAGGGTTATGTTCCGAATATGTGCATGCTTAGATGGGTTGTGGAGCAAGAACAATTTGGAGTACCTCACAATAGTTATTATTTGGTTGATTTCAGTTATGTCAATATTGATAAGATGATTGCTCCATTTCGAGGATATCAATGTCCCTTTGGTGATTATTGTCGAAGTATATCTAGAAGATATGTAGTTTAACAAGAGTTATTTAATAACCGACATGCACAATTTCACAAAGTGGTTGGGAGAACTTTTGGGATTTGGAAGGCACAATTTCAAGTATTGACGCGCATGTGACAGTTTCTTTTGAGTTTTCAAGCTGATGTGGTTATTACATGTGCAGTTTTGCACAATTTTATAGGTCGATACAACATATATGATCTCTATTTCAATATGTTGTAGACGAAAATATAGCATGTGCTCAATATGACAAAGTTGAAATGTCTAATGAAACCTACATATGACAATAGGAGAAAGAATTGAAGATAAAGCGATAAGACATGACATCGTCATTGATTTGTGGAATGCTTATGTAAGAATTTTGCTTTGTGTAAAAAATATTTTAATCTAGATTACATTTTTGTAATAATTTCATGATTTTCTGATTTTAGATATCTAGCTAAAGAAATCGATGTCATGATGAAATTTCTCTCCCACACGATATATCAAATCATATTGAAGTGTACTGTTAATTAGTAGTTCATCTATGTCATGATCATTATTAGTCTATAACGTACTATTTATTGATTTTCCAGTTTCTTTTGTATGAATTCATCTTGGATTTATTATTTTGTATGAACTTATCTTGAATTTATAACTAACTCATTGATGTAATTGACCGCTATTTCTTCATATTTAAATCCTTAACTGTCATAAATCTTAAAATATGTTACCAAATAGTTTTTCATGATTTAATAGGGAATTTGTCATACCAAATAGTTTATAGGATTTAACACCCTCTAGATTTACTAGATTTATAGAATTTACTAAATCCCGCTAGTTTTAAGTCCTACTTGTTGCCAAACAGCCCCTAAAAGTGTCTAGGATTTTTTAAGACTTGCCCCGTAAAGAAGACTAAACCTTTCATATATCTTTATGGGTGATGTGAAACTTCCAAATTTTGATGAAGTTGTAGAACTTCAAATTTTCAGTAGCAAAATGATATTTTCTCTCAATGAGATAGCACAAAATCTTATATCTCGAATGGAGTTGGGTGGTCTTTACTTCTCCTTGTTGCTATATGTTTCTTTGGGGCTCATAAGCCCTCCCAAGGACTTTCTAGTAATGATCCTTTTCAACTTTAGGTGCCTTTCAGGGCTTTTAAATCAATGTGCTCTCATAGTGCTTTTAGATAAATGGAGACATCATTCTACCATTTGCTTTTTAAGGATTCAAGTATTATGGATCCTTCTTGGAAAAAATTATTGCGTCCTCCCACCTGACGTAGAGATACGTCCTCCCACTGCTAAAAAATTCAGTTTTTGCTCGGTATTGCTAGCTATTATTTGGTAATAACGAGGAATACCATCCCAAATGAAGCCTTAATTAAGTGAATACCATACCTATTCCTTGCACTCCTAAAGTCCATACATTACATAGCCTTCTTATAGACTTTATGAACCATTCAAATTCTGCTCTCCTGTAATGAAATTGATTTTTCCTCTAAAATTAAATCTTAACATCACATTATCAAAATTAAATATCAACTTTCAACTTTTAACCCTTCAGATTGATAAAATTATAACATTTTAAAAAATTTATTCATTATTTTGTTACGAAAATTTATAACCTTAATTTGGATGTAAGCAACAGTTATTAGAAGCACAATATTGATTATTAACCTTTGAATTAAATGATTTTTTAATCCCATTGAATTTTATTCCAATCTCAACATTTTTATATGCATACACAGTCCTATACTTGAACGTAACAATTTTGCAATTTTCAAAGAATTTTTTCTCTTGCACACAGGCCTGAATAATATGGAGGAAGTCATATAACTAAGTCTATAAGCAATGCATCAACATATATTTGTTGCGTGCTAGAACATTTGCGATAGTAGAGAGATAGGGTTTAATGTTTTAACTTTGTACAAAGATTTAGCACTAACAGATAAAGAGAGAACGGTGCAAGAATTATAAGAGTCGTCATATTTTTTACATTAAAAATTCAGTTAAGGGAAAAATTCATGGAGCTTAACTCAGTTGAAATGATTTCACTAGTTCTTGTTGTTGATTACAATTTGTGTTTTTCCTTGGGAAAGTAAAAGATTACTAATTCATGAAGCAATCTATAATCTCATTAATATCCTTTTTTTTTTCTATAAGAAATAAAATGTCAATTTGGTCGAAGGATGAAAAATTGTGATGGAGGTTGAGGAGATTGTAGTTTGGTGATAGTGGTTTGAGGACTGTAGTTGGCGGGCGACGAATGTCTGAAGGACCGTGATTGGGCAACGATGGTCTGAGGATCATTGATGGGCAACAGTAATCCTAAGGGTCATAGTTGGGTGATTAAGGTCAAAGGATCGTAGTTAGGCAATAGTGATCTTAGGGATTGTAGTTGATGGTGCAACTAATGTTCGATAGCAATGGTTGGGTAATGGTTAGTTGGTGAATGTCAAATGGTGGTGTCTAGGAGAAGGTCCATAGGTGGTTCCCGGATGGAGGTCTGAAGATGATGGTTGGACGAAGGCATAGCAATGATGGTCGAGTAGAGGTCCAGTGGTGGCAGTCGGGTTGAGCTTCGGCAGTGGCAGCTAGGTGGATGTTTGGCGACGGTCGACCGATGAAAGTGCGATGGCGATGACCAAATGACGAGGGTTCGCAGGTGATAGTGTCTTGGTGGAGCTCCATGACTCTTCAAGCCTCAGAGCTCTCTTGATCTAGTATAATAGGCTGAGGTTCAACGACAGCAATTGGGCGAACATCCGACGATGGTCAGCCAATTAAAATTTGATGGTGGGGGTGTCTGAGTGTAGATCTAGGACTCTTCAAGCTTTAGAGCTCTCTTAATCTCTAACTGAAACTCCCGACCTCTTTGCCCCTGTCGTCTTCATACAAAGAATGAGTGTCTATTTATAATTTTTTTGTGAGTGGCGTGCTTAATAAGAACAAACATGAACCAAACTTGAACAAGCTGATATTAAATGAACACAAACATGAACACTCACATACTCGTCTCGGCTCGGTTCGTTTGCAGACCTAAATAGAGTCATATCTAATTGTTCATAAGATTTGAACTCTCTATGTCTGCATCTAGTTGCCAGTTTGGAGTTCAAGTACCAACCTAAAAGAGGTGGTAAAGGAGAAAGGGTGCAAAGAATTAGTGGAGCCTATTCGTTGGTATAACCGGTAATTTTACTTTCCTTATGTAGGTAGCAAATTATGACTCGTGACAAAAGCTTCATATTACTATATTTCACATTTATACAATAAAAATTCTTACCCAACTACAAATTACAACATGCTAGGCTAATCATCTATTATGAAATTCCTAGGGTACTTATTTTAGTATTATTATTACCTATTAGAATTTCATGGGAATAAATAACCACGTACCCTAGTTCCATGATGAAGAAGAAGCTTGAAATACATCTTGGTTTTCACAATGGAAAAAAGGGAAATTTTCTATCTCCTAACTTTCAAAATGTGTGAGATATTGAAGACCTCCATTAAAGAAACCAATAAGCTAAGGGTGGCTCTAGATTGTGTTTAACCATGTTGTAATTTGTAGTTGGGTAAACCTTTTTATTACATGAATATCAAACTTAGTGACATGAGCCATAATATGCTACCTACCCACAAAAGGAAAGTAAAAATTACTTGTTATATCATCGAATAGGCTCCTCTAGTTCTTTAGCAATGGAAGGTGATGGTTTGCCTAGTTTATTTAAATCTTGTGCGGTTTGTTTTGTAAATTAGGAAGATTCAAATGCAAACAAATCTATGGATCCATGCAAATACATCAAAACCTACTAGGTTTGTTTTGCATCCAATGGGTGGCCAAAAGATTGTTCTACATGTATAATACACTATATGGGATCTTCAATGACACTTGTCATCAATAATAATAATAATAATAATAATAAATGTTATAAAGTTTGATTTTATCCAAAGAGGCAACATCACATTGGTTTATTTTTTACACACATAAATAGCCAAAAAATTATCTCAAACAAAAATATTTGTTCTCATTCTACTCTTATAGAATAGTTGTCATCAAAGTTTTACTTGTACATCGCTTTTCTCCATCATCAGAGTTCACAGAGGTTTAACAATTATCATATTCAACTCAGAGCATTATTTATACTTAATTCATTCAAATATTAAAGTATGTAATGCATCATTAAATGCACATGTTCTAATATATGCTCATAACTCTACTTATAACTCCTTTTAACCCCTCACATAAGCATATATCAAGTGGGGCTACAATCAGAATAGAACATAATTACATAACCTTCCAAATCTACTTTTAGCATGTGGGGTCAAAATCCCTCCCACATCCATTTGAGATAAATGGGGCCAAAATAGATAATATAACACGCATTGAGCTATGACAGATGATTCCTAAGATCTAGTTTTGGAATTGTCTCTAATCCTCTTCCAAATTTTATGTTAAGTAAACTACATACTACAGAGCTACTAAAAATATTCAGTGTGTTGTAAATAAATTCATCCACAAGATTATTTTTATTTCATCAAAATATAGATCTATACTACATAACATAAAATCAAATAGAAGCTACATAACTGAAAATAAACTAATCATGACTGTATAAAATATATAGAAATATCTATCAACTAAGGTTTGATCATGAACTACAAATCAATAAGTTCCTTCCTTTTCCCAAATCCTAAAAAAATAAAGTAAAATTACAATGAGCTACAACAACTCAGTGTGGAGCACACAAAACGTTCTAAATTTTTAAAATTCTTCTTATTAAATATTTTGTTGAATATTTAAAAGAAATTAAATAGAGTCTAATAAATCATTGTACTAAAAAAGGTGATAAGAGCATAATAGTTATCTAATTATTTAAATAATAATACATAATATATACATAAACTAAAATTTATATCATATAGTAGTTCATATCACAAAATAATGCATATCACATATTTTGATCCCAAATAGAATCTCAAAAGATTATAGCCCCTTATGACTCATGTTTGTACTTATAGCATCAAAATATGCTTGTAGGCATCAGAATATGATTTATAATCACTAGAACATGACTTTATAACAATGAGAACATATCATATAAGCACTCGAAAAATGAATCTTGCAAATATGCATGACTATGATGATGTCATTGTTTATCGCTGGCATATTCTCTAATCATATTTCTTTGTGGTCTTCTCTTCAAGGGCTCAAAATATTTAAATACCTCAAGTTGGATGTTTGTGAACTCCTTAATTAGTGGAGATCATATGCCTGACTCTTCCAACTCTGCTATATGGGAAAAATTATTTTATGCGGAAGCGGAACCCTGTCCGGATGCTTAAACCCGCAGCTCGGTACCGCATTGTTGAGCTTCGGTGCTGCTCGGTACCGCGGCTCAGTATGACTGACATGGTTCATTCTTATTTGTATCTAGATGTAGTGCTGTGTTCAGTGTCCGTACAGAATAATCTCTTGCTATATGGACCTTTACAAACTCCCAACATGAACTAGAGCACCCTTAAATTAGCTTTCATGTCTTATATGATCAACCAACACTCCATACATTTTGTCTCTTGGGATTTCTCAATTTGCAACGACTTTCAATCCTCATTGATAGCGGCTCTACATACAACATTATCCAACAGCATGTCGTCAAATTCTTACAACTCCCAGTTGCATCTACTGCACCATTCAATATTGTCATTGCTAACGGTGCTCAACGCATTTGTCATAGTATGTGCCTCAATACAACTCTCATCGTCCAACAAACATAGTTCCAAGTTGGTTTTTTTATTCTACCAATACATGGAGCAAACATCGTGCTCTATTTTCAATGGCTACAAACTTTAAGTGATATTGTGATCAATTTCAACTCCTTCATAATGACATTTATGTGGAATGATCAACCATGCATCTTACTAGGTGTGACATCTTGAATGTTGTCATCAATGGAGGTTATACTTTATATTGTTATACTATATGTTACACTATATGTTACGATGTCAATGTAGGTCTGCTTATATGTTTATGTTATTTCTTATGATGTTTGATGTAGCACAGAGAGATGGTCATATCACTAGATGAAGAGCAAGAGCACATGAAACTCAAGCCATGAAGACTTACATTATCTATATTTTTATGTATTTTCTTTGCTACTATTAATTAGAAAATTTAATAATAATTCTTAGCCTCTTTGCTTGTTTCTTTCCATGCCTCAATTTTTGACTCTTTGATATTTTTATTATGGCCCTCTTTATTTTTTATATTAAATATTCTTTTTTTATTAATAAATATGGACTTGACCTTCACTTCATGCAAATAATATAAAATAAAATAAAATAATGTATAATAACAAGAATTTAAAATCATCATACCAATTTATTGTGGTCATTGGATGAAGTTTGGTAAGATCAATTTCCATATCAAGCTATGGCATATTATTAATTATACAATAAGAGAAAAAATAAACTAATTTCTCAATCACTTAAGCTTTGTTTGGGACATCTGTCATACTGCTTCTTAAATCATATTTTTAATACAAAAATTAAAAATTTTATATTAAAAAGATGTTTTAAGAAGCATTAAAAAAGTCGTCTCAAACAAAGCACTATTCTTTTCCTTCATTTTCTAATTATGACAAATTTGATAAATAAGCCTTGGTAAATCTACTTAACAAATTCTTTTTACCATTTTCTAATTATATCCCCAACTTTTGTAAAAATTAGAAAACGATCTTAATGTTGACCTTTATCTTGTCAATAATTAATAATTTTATTATTTAATTTTTAAATATAACTATAAAATGACCTTCCTTTGACAATGTCCCATTTTAATAAAAAACAAAAAATAAATAAATATGGGGACATGCGAGCTCTTGCTTGGAAACTTCCTAATGGCAAATAATTCCGAACCAGAATAAATAAAAAAATAAAATTGCAGTCTGAGTTTTTTTATTTTATTTTTTCAAAGGACAACTAAGGCCGTACCTCGTCAGGCGTTGCCGTGTAAAATTCGCATTTGCAGAAAAAACGAATTCTCATTGCAAAGTCCTCGCATGCAATTTCCAATTTTGTATGTATAAATTAGTGCATTTTATGAATACTTTTTGCTATAATTGTTTATTTTAAATAAATTAAATTTAAAATTTTAATTACTTAGACTTTAAATAATTGAATATTTAGAAGGGTTTTTTGTTGTTTAATCAATTTTGATTTTTCATATTATATTTTTATAATTAACTTTTTATGTTTTATTTAATTTATTTGAGCTATAAATATGATGCAAACATCAGTAAATATTAACTAAAATTATATTTTATAAATATTATGTATTGAATTATATTAATTTTAATTAAACATCATAAACATATATTTGAATTATTATAATTCAAATTCAACAAATAAATAATAAATAAATTTGATGAAATTTCAAAATACAGAATCATATTAAATTTGATATAAAATTTAATTAAAATAAATAAATTTTAAATAAGATAATAAATAACTCTTTATTTATTAATAGCCTAAATGTCAGATATAACGACAAATAATTAAATATTTGATATGCCCACCTACCCGCCAATTGCCTCCTATTTGCCAATGGAAACCTATGCACAGTAATAAACAGCAAACAGCGACTTAGTAAATGAATAGTGACACGTGCTCATGTACTTTGCTGTCTTTGCACATGGCTTGATTGCACTAAAATTCTTATTAGCCAATAATTTGATTGTTAATTTTCAGCAGAATTAAATAATTTTTAATTAAAATTTAAATAAAAATTATTTATTTACTAAAATTTAATAATTCTAAAATAAAAAAGAGAAGATGGAGTGCATTTTAAAAATAAATAAGACTATAATTAAAATAATATAGTATTAATTATAATTATAAATTTTTTAATTTATTTTAAAATATATTATTATAATTTTTATTTTAAAATAAAAACGAGCATGTGACCCCACTGGGCTTAGGTGGGTTGGTGGGCGTGCTTGGTTGGGAACCACCCATCCCAAGTTCAAATTCCCTCTCATACGGCATGACTCCTTAAGTGGAGAAAAAATAACTGTGGGTCATACACCTGTGGGGTTAGTTGCTGGTTGACTCACCGAGGGATTAGTAGACATCGCCAAATGCATCGCAAGCTGACGTGCAGCGGGCCGATACCCCCGTTTTCAAAAAAAAACGAGCATGCGTGAATCACTTATCAATTTGAGGTGTGTATCAATGATGTAGCTAATGATAGTGGGAATGAGACGAAGTAGCTCAATCGCCTTTGATGCTAATGTGAAAGATAATGACTTGCATATTGGTATGATTTAATAATGATAGGAGTTGGGATTTTAGGTGAAATAAGGATAAGTTTAGGGCTTGACTTGAATATAAAGTATTCAATAAAAATATTTATGATGTTTGGAGTTATTTTAAGGCCCTAAGTATGAATGGTAAAGGATATTGTTGAATGGTTAGGAAGGGATCTTAAACTAAGAAAAAACTAAGGTTTCGTTTGCGACGACTTTCTTACTGTTTCTTAAAACAGCTTTTTAGTTCAATGTTTTAAGAAGCATTAAGAAAGTCGTCCCAAACGAAGTCTAAGCCTTCGTTTCAGACTGCTTTCTAAAGCAATTTTTTTATATAAAAATTTCTTGAACTAGAAATTTTTGTATTATAAACTTGCTTTAGAGAATAGTAAGAAAGCTGTCTCAAACAAAGCCTAAATAGACCTGGGGAGATATGTATAAAGATGGGTGAGGAAATTATGTTTCATGGCCGGGTTGAGAAATTGGGAGCCTCGATTATGATTGAATTCGTTTTGCATGCGATGTAGAGGGACAGATATCTTACTCTAGGGTTAGTGAGGAGATGAAAAGAAGAAGAAAATACTAAACTGCACGTTAAAAAAGAGTAAACATAAATGATGATTACACTCCTCACCATTAGATTAAGCGCCTGTTTGAGGCAACTTTCTTACTGTTTTTCGTTGTAGACTACAACCACAATTTTTATTTGAATACTATTTTTTCGTTGCTTTCAAATAATTTGAGTTAGAAAACTATTTTTTTAAGCAGCTTAGGCTTCGTTTGGGACAGCTCTCATCTTGTTTTCTAAAACAGCTTTTTAGTACAAAATTTTTTTGAATTTAAAATTTTTGTACTAAAAAGCCGTTTTAAAAAGCCATATGAAAGCTGCTCCAAACTAAGGCTGCGTTTAGGACGGCTTTTTTATTGCTTTATGAAACGGAGTTTTAGTACAAAATTTTAAAATTTTGTACTAAAACTCCGTTTCAGAAATCAATAAAAAAGTCGTCCCAAACGAAGCCTAAGAATTAAAAAAATTTATTTTCTCCTCAATAATTTTATGCCATCCCAAACAAATTCTAAAATTTAATATAGTAATTATGATATCATTTTCACTAAAAATTCAATCATAAAGAAGCATCGTGATGACGACGTCGTGACACGTCACCCACGCAGGAATGAGGCTCTCTCATCCATTATATCGATACGATGAAGCAAATTCGCTCACAACCTCTCCTTATCATCCCCTTCCATTAGAAACCCTCGAAACCCTAATCTCCTCATCTCTTCGCTTTGGAGTAGGGAGAATGGCTGAAACAGTGGAGCTTCCTAGCCGTCTGGCGATTCTTCCCTTCAGAAATAAGGTGCTTCTGCCTGGCGCCGTCATTCGCATCCGCTGCACATCTACGAGAAGGTAAGTTTTCGATCGGTTGTTATTCAGTTCGAGTGGGAATTGGAATCATCTACTGGAGATTTGGGGTGCAGTGTGAAGCTGGTGGAGCAGGAGCTGTGGCAGAGGGAGGATAAAGGGTTGATTGGAGTGCTGCCTGTGAGGGTCACGGAAGCTGCCGCGGCGGCGGCGGCGGCGGCTGCTGTTGGTAACTTGGTATCGCCGGGTGAGCTTTATTGTGTTTGATTATGTTTATGGTTTTCTGATTTGTGATTGTAGATGGAGGTCTATAAAATAATTTTTTTTTTCAATGAAGGATCGGGGAGTGATAATGGAGAACGGATTGTGAAGTCATCGGCTGATGTTTTGGGTGATTCTCAAAAGCAGGGTGCAAAGAACCAGGAGGAGCCTATCCGCTGGTATAACAGGTAACCTCTACTTTCCTTCTGTGGCTATTTTTCAGAATTTTCTGTTCGTGGTGCTGAAAATGGTTCTTTTTTAAGCTGAAAATGGTTCTTTTTTAAGCTGAAAATGGTTTCTTTGATAACCTTTTGATCCAAATTTTGTGTTCTTCCACAAAATTCATGGATTGGTTTTTCTTTGTGCTTATTTGTACCATAGTGTTCGAATGCCTTTAGTTAGTCTTTTGGGAAAGGGAAGTGGATAGAAGTTATGAGGAAAATAGTGATCTTTTTATCGTGATGTCACTATTGGCGTATGCTTTTTGCTGATGATATTCTTCTTGTTGATAAGACTAGAGAGGGAGTTGAAGGTAAACTTGAATTATGGAGGTCAAGCTTAGAGTCTAAAGGTTTTCGCTTGAGTAGATCTAAAACTGAAGATATTGAGTTTAATTTTAGTAGCAATAGACCTAGTGAGTTGATTGTGACTTTGGCCGATCAAGTCATTAATAAGAGTACATGTTTTAGATATCTTGGATCTATTGTTCAGAGTGATGGTGAAATAGATGGGGATATTATCAACATAATTCAAGTTGAATGGTTGAAGTGGAAGAATGCATCGGGCTTGTTGTGTGATAGAAAAGTCCCCCTCAAACTTAAGGGAAAATTCTATAAGATGGTGGTGAGACCTGCAATGCTTTATAGTGCCGAATGTTGGCCATTAAAAAAGAAGCATAATACTATGTTAAGTGTTGCAGAGATGAGGATGCTTAGGTGTATGAGTGGCTTTATCCTTAGAGATAGGATACGAAATGAGCATATACATGAAAAGGTTGGAGTAGCTCCAGTGGAAGATAAGATTAGAGAGAGTCGCCTTAGATGGTTTGGTCACATTAAATGGAGGCCTTTCGATGACCCGGTTAGGAATGTTGAGGTATTAGATTTGACTTATGTTAAGAAAGGTGGAGGTAGACCTAAAAAGACTTGGTTAAAAAATATCATAAATGATCTTTATTTATCAAATTTAAATGAGAATTTGATTTTTAACAGGACACAATGGAGAAAAAGGATTCATGTAGCCGACCCCACGTAGTGGGACAAAGGCTTGATGTTGTTGTTGTAGTGTTTCGATATGTGGCTGAGATATTTTTTTTCTATTTTTAGGAAGGCAAAAAACAAAATGTCTGGGAATGCTGGACATTAGTATATTGACTAGATACTATTAGTTTATTACTTCATCAATAAAACGAATAAAGTGCCACTTCTGTATGGTTTCAAGTTCACTTTATCTGTGCTTGACTTTTTTAGGTTGAAAAAGAGAACAAAAAAACAAGTGAACTAAATGTTTCTTTTGGTAGATTAGATGCAATGATTACCTTTTTGGCTAGAATTTGTATTTCTTAGGTGATTTGTAAATTTTAGGAAAGAATAAGATTGAAAGAAACCTAATTTAATAAGTTATCATGCAACATATGGAAGAGAAATCCAAGTAGCTTACCTAGCCCTCCATTTCTTCAGTAAATACATGATGTCACAATTTGTTTTGATCATTATAATGTTTGGAGATTTCCTATTAATTATTTTCCTTTCAATTCAGGGGTGTTGCTGCCAGAGCTCTAAGTCTATCTAGAGGAGTAGAGAAACCAAGCGGTAGAGTAACATATATTGTGATTCTCGAGGGATTGTGTCGATTTAGTGTTCAAGAGATTAGTGAAAGAGGAACATATTTTGTTGCAAGAATTTCCCGGCTAGATATGACAAAGGCTGGTAAGAATTTAATTGATTTTGTTTGGATGCATATCTATGGTCTTTGTGAACCTACTATTCCATATACAAGCCTACTTCATGTGCAGTTATAATTCATTCTTTTTTACTAGATAGTGTATTTCATGATTGGAGATTTTTTTTATAGCTTCAGCTTTAATGTATTTTTTAAGACAAAAAGTTTTTCGGATAATTTAAAAGAGATGGTAAATTTGGAAATTCTTGTATACTTAGAAATGAGACTAACTCATTTCAGTGATATGTTATGGTCAGCTATTAATGATATGCACACTTTTATGTGCTACTTTATTCCTCTAAACTTTCATTCCCGTCCAATCAAATTTAGTGCACCTCTTGGCATGATCCATAAATGATGTTTTGGCTAATAAAACAAGATTAATTTATATTAAATTAGAGAAAAGGGATATGATCTTTGTCAAGCCTTATATAACTTTCAACAAAATTTTTATTAGTAGAGTAGCTAACATGCAATTATATAACAATTTATTCATTCGTGGAAGGTTAAAGCACTCAACTAGAGCATATAAATTCAAGGAAATGACCTCAAGTGAGTCATCAGCACAAAAACCAAGTCCAACTATGCATATCATATCAAGTCTCAAATACAAGCAATTCATCTCAAAAGCTTAATGTCACTAGGTTAGACATTCTACAATAATAAGGCATATCCAACTACAAATTACAACGTGATTAAACATAGTCTAAAGTGTAATTTAATAAGTAAAATAAGGCATGGCATGTTTCTTTTACATCCATCACATGATTTACAATCATTTAGGAGATAAAAAAATCAATCATCCATCCATTCTTTCATTCCTTAACTGGTGTACTGGCGAACCAGAGTGGCTAACAAAGCATGGGATGGGGATGTTGGTCGTTGTAGAACTATACTCCCACATTCCATGCACACTCCCCACCACAAGAGTGGTGGTTGCACTTTCCAGATAGGAAACACTTTCCCACAATGAAACTATAGGGAATCGATATAATCATGTTTACTTTGCATGTCTCTTATTATCCAAATGAAGTCAAGTTAACTTCATCACTCAATGGACCCAAGCAAACTTTCTATCACAGCCACCAGGACTCAGGTGTATGATGCAGCCAATTAAACCACATCACCTCATCTATAAGCCAATAATAAAACCACAGCGTGTTAAGTATTTGATCATAATTTGAATTAAACGAAACTACTCTACAAAATAATTAAGCATAAAATATTATAATTTAGCCCAATACTAACCGCACATAATTTATATAATTAGCTTGTTAATTAACTTAGTTAATCTGTTAATGTTGCATGATTAAATTAATGAGTTATGGACCCTACAGTTTTTTTTTTTGTAACATGAATATGATTTTCTTGGTAGTCTTTTTGAAGGTCTTTTATAATTTTCACCAAACTGATATTTCCTACTGTTCTAGAGCTGGAGCTGGCTGAACAAGATCCAGACATAATATTACTATCTCGCCAATTTAAAGCAACTGCCATGGAGCTCATTTCAGTTCTTGAACAGGTGTATATTAAGATTTTCTGAATATTATAGTTTTCTTTTGTTTCTGATATTATATAATATATTTTACGAAAAGTTGATGGTGTGCTTGCAATGCTAGATCATTTACATGGATATTGTGCTATATCTATATCATCTTAGTTTTGCATATTACATAGATCTGTCTACTTTGGATGATAAATCATTAGACTTGGTTGCAAATTTATTTAGACCTATGATGCACAGACACGAACACGGCAACATGGATACGACACGGACACGGACACGGACACGGAACACGTCAGTTATTAAAAATATAGGACACAAACACGGATTGGACACGGTATTATAATTTTTATATTTAAAAAATAGTGTATAAAAATTAAATAAGTATAATTTTAAAAATAATTTGAAAATAATAAGTCATTTAACTAGAATTTGTGCTTAAAATGATTAATATTAGGATGTCGAGAGTCAGGCGTCAATGCCGTTTATCAGTCACCGAGAGAGGAGAAGAAAATACCTTCACTGCCAAAAAGAAATGAAAATGAGAATATTCGATGATTGGTATTAAGTACGGACGTTGATTTGGTATTGTGGATAGGAAATAAAAAATTTAGTTTAAATCCCTCCAAATACAAGAAACTATATTTAAAAAAATTTATAAAATATTTAAGATACGCGTGTTGAACACGCGTGTCCAATTTGTATTTAATATTTTTTAATCGGACACGTTTTCGGCGTGTCCGACACGTGTCGGAGGAGTGTCGGACGAGTGTCTTGTCGGATACGGTGTCGGACACTGCAAGCCTCTTTGAGGAGAAGTGTCAGGAGTGCATCATAGATTTAGACCTCTTTATTTGGATTGTAGCAGTAACCAGTGTTGTTAAAAAGCACACTTATGGAATGAAGCACTACGTCTTATATTTGCATTGCATTGATTGATCACAAAGTGGCATGCTGCTGCGAAGCATGATGGAATGCGCAATTGCAGCATTCTGCGATTTATTGAAACAAATCACATTTCACTTGAAGTTCAAATGCAACTTCCGTTTTCCTAACTTGTCAAATCGTGAACAAAAGGGTTTAGGGTCATAATCCATTTCACACTTTAACTTTTCATTTCAGCTATTGAGTTTGAAGCAATTATTTTTCTCAAGTTGTCACATAATTTTTCTCCTCTAAATGAATCCTCTTAGTTTTTTCCAGCTCTTGACCTTTCAATGAGATTTCTCATTCTTCTCTTCACACGATCATGTCAACCTACGAGCCATCTTCATCTTAAAAGATTTTCTAATCTTGATACCTTTCTATTACTGGTATTTTTAGGTAAAAGCTTTCATTTATCCATTGTTTATCTTCAATTCTTCCTCATTTGACTTCTAATGTTGAATTCCTTTGATTTTTATTTCCCAACTCATGTCACTTGATTTTGTATTCATAGTAAGCTTTACTCCCTTTGTTGTTTGGGTGTTTCTGACGCAGGAGCTGAAAACAACCCTCCAAATGTTCCAGCAGTTCGATCCAGCTCATCGTTGAACCCATAGTCAGCACCGCCTACTTCCTGTCCTGTCCTTTGGTTTGGTTCAGTAAAACCTGTAGCTGAACCAAAATCTGGGTAGTCGGTTTATTTCTCTTCTAGGTTTTAGTTGGTAGTTTCTATATAAGGGACAGACTCCTCTTTGTTTTGGTAGAGAAGAATTTTGAATTAACTTTATTTCAGCCAGAGCTGAACTTTCTGTATCTTGTGGTTTGCATCCAGGTGATGGTACTAGCAATAAAGATCTATTTCTTTGTTCTTCTTTTCTTCTATTCCTAGATTTTGTGATAGGAAACGCTTCTTAAAATAGAAGGAAACTTTGGCTGAAATTGAATTTCAGCAAGCCCAAAACAGTAAACAAGGAAGATCTAGGTCACGCAAGAGAAACTTTTTAATTGATGATAAGAAGAAGAAACAAATAATATATAATGGATCTTCAATTGGAGAGGAAGATCCGGCTCTCCCAAACACTAGTCACCCACTAGAGTCCCTTTCGCTCCTATGGAAAACTCAATTTAGCAAAAATGTAACATAACCTTAACTCTAGGGTGAACAATCTATTAAAAGCATACAAACTAAAGCAAAATTCCCTAACAGCCCCTTCAACTCGAATTTCCCTCCCAACCGCCCCTCCTATCTCTTCATTGTGGCATGGACCCCACCCCAAGGGGGGTAGACAGAGCATGGGATGGACCAGGCTTATGCCTAGTGTAAAATTTGGTCGGTCCCTCCTGGATCGGTCTAGCATTTTATTCTTTGTTTTTCTTACTACAGTGTCAATTGGTATCAGAGCACCAATTTTGGCATGCCACCGAGAAGGAAAAAATCCAAGTATTGTCCAAGAACACACCATTATAGAATTGCAGAGGGAAATTAGACAATTGTAAGAAATACTTGTTGTCGTGGAAGTTAGGCAACCCGTGGATCACCATAATGGAGGAGAAGAGTCTCATCTTGATGGGGTAGAGAAAACCCTTTCCACCAAGAATCCTCTAGCGAAGAAGATGTTACACCATTGTGATATTTCTCCTGTGAAGCTAGAAGATCGCCATCAGATTTTGGAATCAGGATTGATCTCCCAGACTTTGAAGGACTCCTAGATCCGGATGTACTCATCAATTGGTTATATACCATTGAACGAATTATTAAATATAAAGAAGTTCCGCAAGAATGCATTGTCAAACTTGTTGCCATCAAACTCAATGGTAACACATCTTTATGGTGAGAGAATTTGAAGCTTTCTCGGTAAAGAGATAGAAAAACCAAGATTGCAATGTGGGACAAGATGAAAAAAGAGCTGCAACGGAAATTTTTACCTGAACACTATTGCTAAGATAGGTTCCTCCGATTACATCATCTTCAACAATAAGAATTATCTGTGAAAGTTATGCAGCTGAATTCAAGCATTTGGGGTTAAATGTCAATTGGTAGAACATGAGGAAAATACTATTGCTTGTTTTCTTGGAGGCTTAAACCTGTCTATCTCTAATATGGTTCAATTACAACCTTATTGGACCCTTGCCAATGTGATCAATCTTTCTCTCAAGGTTGAAAAACAACAAAAACAAGGGAAAAAGAATTCTTGTTGCCGATAGTATGAGTGGAACTACCAACCAGCAGGGTCCTTCAGTGGACCGACAACCCAATGCCTCCCACATTGTTCCAATCACGGGAAGCCACTCACGGATTCGGCCAACACAAGGTGCAGTGCCAGCAACTGCATTTCCTGCAAGAAAATGTTTCAAATGCCACGGGTTTGGCTACATAGCATCCAATTGTCCTACACAACGATTTGTCACATTAATGGAGAAAATGCCACAAGAAGATAACTATTCAGAGGAAATTACAAATGGGATTCCTGAAACTGAACAGATTTTGCAAGCTGATGAAGGAGAACTAATTATAGCTAGATGTCCACTGAATACACGTTATGACCATGAACAAAAATGGTTGAGGCACAATATTTTTCGCACTAGGTGCATTGTGCAGGGCAAGGTGTGTAACCTTGTGATCAATGGAGGAAGTTGTGAGAATGTAGTTTCAACCTTAATGGTGGAGAAATTAAAATTTGCAACCAGTTCTCATCCTCAACCATATCTATTAGCTTGGCTTAAAAAAGGCAACAAATTATCAGTCAACAAACAATGTTTAGTTCAATTTTCTATTGGAAACAGTCTTCGAGAACAACTATTATGTGACGTAGTGCCAATGGATGCTTATCATATCATATTAGGGGTACCATGACAATTTGACTGGAGAACCATTCACGATGGTTATCAAAATACATATTCCTTTCACCAAGAAAGTCGAACCATTGTGTTAATTCCATTGAATGAAATGGGGTGTCCGAACCCTCCAAAATAGTGATCAAACAACCATCTCTTTTCTTGCAAGCTCTATGGTCAGCACAATAGGGCTTAGTTTTGGTCTTATTCGAAGAAATTACAAAGCAACTCCATCAACTTGTTTAAATAAAAAATCTACTACAAAAATTTAGTCAAGTTTTCTCTGATTCGCTTCCTAGAGGTCTGCCTCCTTGAGGGAAGTTCAACATGCTATCGACTTCATACTATGAGTTGTTATTCCCAACCGTCCCACATACCGAATGTCTCCTAAAGATTATGAGGATTTACAAAGGCAGGTAAAGAATTTAATAATTACAGGTTTTGTGAGACCAAGTTCTAGTCCATGTGTTGTCCCCGCCCTCCTTGTGCCAAAAAAAGATGGAACTTCACAAATGTGTATTGATAGCCGTGTCGTTAACAAAATTACTATCAAATATTGCTTTCCTATTCCTCGTGTGGCCATGAGACGAATGGAAAACGGCTTTCAAAACATGGGATGGATTATACGAATGAACAGTTATGCCTTTCAGCCTATCTAATGTGCCTGGTACTTTCATGCCTCATGAATCAAATTTTTCGTCCCTTTTTAAATAAATTTATTGTTGTTTATTTTGACACTCTGGTATATAGTCGTACCATAAAAGAATATTTACAACACATTCAACAAGTACTCGAGGTTCTTCTAGAACAATGATTGTTTTTCAATGCTTCCAAATGTGAATTTTTTATGCTGACAACTAGATAGAAAAATCAAAAGGGAGAACACAAGGACCTGGAGAACTTTTCTCTATTCAACTTAAAGTAGGCAAACATAAAAAATCAACTTAAAACAAACAAAAGTTAGACAAAAATGAAACTAAAATAAAAATAAAACAAACTACCCTCAGAACAACCAACTGGTGGTCACCTCACATGCAAAAAAATAGTATGTGAGATAATAAGTGTTTAAAGTCATGCAAACCAAAGGTCCATCACAGCAACTTTGGGCCAATGTCCACCACAAGACTCCTCCTGTAAATGCTATCAAACTAGCCAACAACACTTTCAAGAGCTTGAGAAGAAAGATACAAGTGGGGTGGGAACTTGTGGAGAGAAGTAGGTAATAAGCCCAAGACAAAATCAAAAAGATGAGAAGAGAAGTGGAAATAGCTCGCAAGCTTTCCAAGAAGAAAACCCTTAGGTTTAAGTAGCTTTCACTCACCAAAATTTGCTCTAAAATGTCACAAATCAGCCACTATATATAGGAGAGGAGAGGGAGCCAAACAGGCCAAACAACCGCCCAATGAAACCAATCAGCAAAGGGGAGGCAGAAGGCCAAAAGGCAGCCGAAGGGAGCATCACCGAAAGGCTAGCAGGACACAACCAACGAACAGCCAACACCAGGGAAAAAGGAACCGGGCTGGGGGAGAACCGAAAGGCCAAAACAGAGGGGGGAATGAACCCGGCCAGCAGTATAATGAGCTGAAAAAGGCAGCAGCTCACAATAATGAGCTGAAAAAGGAAGTAGAACACAGCAGCTCACCAACTAGGCAGCAAACCCCGAAACAACCAAGCCCAAACCAAGGAACCAAGTCAGCCCAAAAGCCGTGGCACCAAAGAAACTATCATACCCAAGGCAATGCAAGTCTAAAAGCACAACCTACACATGATCATAGGTTGCCTTCCATTATAGGGTAGAAAAAAAAAAACAAAAACACATAAAATTCAAATTACAATATATAAAAAAATGAAATTTGCATGCCTCAATTTTTGGTAACTACCATCAAATTTTTAGGATTTGTGGTGTCACCGAAAGGTCTACAAATAGAGCCTGACAAGGTGAGTGCTAGTAAAGAATGGTCGATGCCCTTATCCATGAATGATGTCAGGAGATTTCATAGATTGGCCTCCTTTTATCATCGTTTCATCAAGAGCTTTAGTACAATCACTGCACCATTAACAGAATTACTCAAGCAACCACAATTCACTTGGGCCTCGACGACACAAGCTAGTTTTGATAGATTGAAGTCACTTGTAACTTCAACACCTGTGTTGGCTCTTTCAAAATTTTCTCAGATATTTGAAGTGGAATGTGACACTTCCAACTTGGGCATTGGAGCAGTGTTAAGCCAAGGTGGGCATCTAGTGGCATATTTCAGTGAAAATTTAATGAATCTCGCCAAAGGTATTCTACTTTTGATAAAGAATTTTATGTCATTGTCCGAACTTTCCAATATTGGAGCCATTAATTGTTAGCACAAGAGTTTGTTTTATTTTTCGATTACCAAGCTCTCAAGCATCTTCACAATCAAAGCAAATTAAAAGGAAAGCATGCCAAGTGGGTAGAGTATCTATCATCTTTTCATTATTATTTGAGGTATAAATCTAGAACTGCAAACCAGGTAGCCAATGCCCTCAGTTGAGGGTTCAATTTATTGAACACTCTCCAAGTAAAAACAATGGGGTTTGAAGTCGTCCAGGAATTGTATGAAAATGACCCAACTTACACATGATATGGAAAAGTCCAACAACACCCTTACAAACTTTTTCATATCCAACAAGGCTAAATGTTCTTAGGCAACCGATTGTGCATTCCCTAATGCTTGTTTCTAAATGTTATTATTGTTGAAAACCATGATGGAGGCTTATCCAGGCATTTCTGACATGATAAAACATTGACCATTATTCAAGAGAATTTCTATTGGCCACTTCTTCTTAGAGATGTTGATAGATACATTAAGAGGTGTAGAATTTGTAAAATTGCGAAAACAACCCATCATAATATTGGATTATACTTACCTTTGCCAGTACCCGATTCACCTTAGGTAGATGTTAGCTTGGATTTTGTTTTTGGCCTCCCTCTCACACAAAGGAAAAAAGATTCAGTCATGGTTGTAGTTGATCATGTTTTAAAAATGGCTCATTTTGTTCCTTGTCGAAGGACATTAGATGTATAACATATTGCTAGACTCTACTTCCATGAAATTGTACGCCTACATGGTATTCCAAAAACAATCACTCTTGATAGAGATGTTAAATTCCTTAGTCATTTTTGGAGTACTATGTTAACCAAACTGGGAACTAAACTCCAATTTAGTTCTGTGGCACACCTGCAAACAGATGGACAAACTAAAACTGTCAGTAGGAGTTTGGGAAACCTTTTGAGATGCTTTATTGGAAAGAACATCTGTCAATGGGATGAAATTTTGGGTCAGGTGGAGTTTACTTACAATCGGTCAAGGAACCAATCTATAGGCCGCAGTCTTTTTGAAATTGTATATAGACAAAATTCAATTGGGCCACTAGAGTTAGTACCACTTGTTGCCACAACAGCCCAACACCCTGATGCTGAAACTCGAACTCAGGAAATTCATAAACTTCACTAACAAGTACAACAACAAATTCATAAACAGAATGCTAAGTATCAAAAACAGTCTAACAAGTCGAAGAGGAAACAAAACTTTAAAGGAGTTCTAGCTTGGATAAGCAAGGAAAGATTTCCAACCAGAGGACATAGCAAACTCAAACCCAAAGCAGATGGCATCCTTAAACGCATTAATGACAATGCTTTCCAAATAGAGCTTCCTGGAATTCTACAAGTCTCCCCTACTTTCAATGTTTCAGATTTATCTCATTATTATGAAGATGCAATTTCCTCCACTGTTGAAGAAAGTTCTTCTCAAGCCCGGGAGAGTGATGCAGGAGCTGAAAACAGCCCTCCAAATGTTCTAGCAGGTCGGTCCAGCTCACAGCTGAACCCATAGTAAGCACCAATTCCTTCCTGTCCTCTGGTTCGGTTCAGTAAAACCTGTAGCTGAACCAAAATATGGGTAGTAGGTTTATTTCTCTTCTAGGTTCTAGTCGGTAGTCTCTATATAAGGGGACAGACTCCTCTTTGTTTTGGTAGAGAAGAATTTTGAATAAACTTTATTTCATCCAGAGCTGAACTTTCTGTATCCTGTGATTTGCATCCAGGTGGTGGTACTATCAATGAAGATCTTTTTTTTTTCTTCTTCTTTTCTTCTATTCTTAGATTTTGTTCTCTACTTTTCCTTCTACATTGTCAGTTTCTCTATTGGTTCTTCATATCTTTTGTCTTATGCGATAATGTCATATTTATGGCTTGCTCTTCAGATGTGCTTTAAAATTGCCAGAAAATTTCAAGTGTTGTTTTTTTTTTTTTTTTTTCTTAGTCTAATTATTGAGTATTTATGTTGTTGTTTATGTTGGGTAATTCATTATTATATCCTTCTTAATATTTGATGAAAATTCTATTGATCATTTCGTTAAGATAATTGAATTATATAATACTAGTAAGTGCTTCAATTAATCGAAGCACATTTTTGGTTTGTGCTTCACTTTCAAAGCAAGAAAAATCATCTTGCACGTCACATTGCGTTTCTCATTTTCAACCTTGGCTTTGATAGATTCTTAGGTGGTAACAAAGCATTTTTTATTCATTTATTACAACTCTATGTTTGTACTTAAGTTAATTTCTCTATGTATTTTCTTTCAGTTTTTTCCTTTTTGATGCTTAGTCATCAACATATTTGCTGTGGCTTATTTTCTTTCTAATTTTTTGTTGCAGAAGCAAAAAATTGCAGGCAGAACAAAAGTTCTTCTTGATACAGTACCTGTGCATAGACTGGCAGATATTTTTGTAGCTAGCTTTGAAATAGGATTTGAAGAGCAGCTCTCTATGCTGGATTCTGTTGACCTAAAAGTCAGACTTTCTAAGGCAACTGAACTAGTTGACCGTCATTTGCAGGTGATTATTGCTTAATTTGGTTTTCAAATATCTATCAACTTTTCTATGTATTTATGTTTAGTTTATGCCATACTACTTGGTAATTGAATGCCATATGCGTGAAGTTAGTAATGAGATAATATATGATAGATGCATTGTCACTTGATTTTTTGTATTTGTTCTTTCGTAAGCATTGATTAATTTTCTTACTCTGCTGAGCAGTCTATTCGGGTGGCAGAGAAAATAACGCAAAAAGTGGAGGGGCAGCTATCAAAGTCTCAGAAAGAATTTCTTTTGCGTCAACAGGTTTGTATCCTTTTTTTTAGCACACCATGTCTAAATCTTTTTCTAGGTCAGGTTGAAGAGCACCTTTTAAACATAAAGATTCGTGACACAATATATAGTTTCATATCCATTTTTTTTCTCCATTTAAGTGTTTCCTTATTTATTACTATCATTCTATATTGTAGTGTTATTGAAGCAAGTTAGATGCTTAGATAGTAAATGTGAGGAGAGGCCATAACACCTTATATCTCCCAAGTTGGCACCTCCGTTACTAAGTTATGCTCAGGAGAGTGTCTTTCCTTGATGCCCCTAATTAGGCGTCCGCCTTGCCTTAAATTGCCAATTAGCCAAATGCCTTGCCTTAATTGAAAAGATAGGTGTTATCTTCTTAAACTAAAAAGTCGAGTTAGTTTTTCATGATGGTAATTTGATGTGCGATAATGTTGAAGAACTATCAAGACTTGAAGAAATGAAGTTAAATTAAATGCATGTACATGTTCTTTAAGTCATATAACATTAAATCTTAAGGATGAAGAAGTTGATTATAGGGGGGAGGATGAGATGGAGGGCTACAAACTAATGATGGAATTAAGATTATGTTAGTTTTGAAGATGGAAAATATAGCAGGGAAGATAAGCTATAAATAGTAAAGTAGCTTATCATACTTGTTTAAGATTATTTATTTACTAATAATTTTGGACTTTGAATACAATTTAACTAGAAAGTTTATAATATTTCCTACTTATCTTGATGATTTTCACTTCATACTATTAGTATGAAAAAATATTCATCGTACTTGAGCAAGTCAGATTTTTGGCAGTCATATTGCTTTGAGACTGCCTAATGCTCTACCATACCTCTCATTACAAAAGGGAGAAGAATGAACAGAAGAAAATAAATGAAACTGCTCTGTTTTTCTGCTGAATATGATAAAGCATTTTTGTTTCAGGTTAATGAAAAAGGCAGTGATGGGCATGTTTTGATGCTCAATAAAGCAATACATTACATTGCACCCGCTTCTATGCCTTGGCTTGAATTTTGAACCATTTAAGTTAGAAGTTTGATTGCAAAAGAATTTTTTTTTCTTACATTTGTTATTTTATATTATGGTTTCTATTCTTCTATAGGCTTACAGTGTATCACATTTTCAGATGAGGGCCATCAAAGAAGAACTTGGTGACAATGATGATGATGAGGATGACATTGCAGCTCTTGAAAGAAAGATGCAAAGTGCGGGCATGCCTCCTAGTATATGGAAGCATGCCCAGAGGGAACTACGGTTAGTGTTCTATATGTAGAACAACAATAATAAATTGTGCGTCTTTTGGCTTAACAGTTTGATTCTTATCTATATGCTCTTTAATTTTTAAAATAAAGTGATGAACCAAACAACTGTTTCTAATATTTTCTAACCAAGTCTTTGTAGGTCTACCTCTGTATTTCTTAACATAAGCCAAATGTAATACATCTACTCTCCTAACCAGATAATTGGAAGGCTGCCGTTTTAATAACCTTTTAGTAAACAATAAAAATCTTGATGTGCCAAAATTCTTACAAAGTGATGAACCAAACAACTGTTTCTTCCAATATCAATTTGCCTCCATCCACCTCCAAAACCATTATATTAAGTTCCATCCTTTCAAACAACCAAGAAAAAAAGGATGGGTCGATTATAAACAAGGGATTATGGGGATTCCGGGATTGCTTTGGCAGCCAAGACGTTAATTGGGCTACACTAGATTTGGTCCTAGAGAAACTTTTTCTCTATTCTCAAAACTTGAATACTACTTAAAAGTCAACCATCCAAGAGCGGCCATGATGAAGGAAGTGACTCACTAAATAGCAAACTTGACATCTAATTTTTCCAATGAAGAAATTATGAATTAAATGAGGGAGAAATTATCAAGCCATTAGCTGCTAAGTGAATCTCCAAACAACAACTACAACTGACCAATATATCACTTAATTTTACTTCCCACCTGTCCGATCTCCCTTAGTTCATTATTTAGCCAGAGCTTCATATGTGACAATATATATGGTTTCTGTTTGGAGGGGTTTTATAAAGCTTAAGGGAGTGATTCTTCTTGTTTGGGCGATTGATTCCCCAAATGTCATGAATGAATTACTTCTTAGTTAGGATTCTCACACTAGTCTTATGTTCTCATATATTTTTTGTGATGATTCACTAGTCCACATGACAAACTTGAGGATGATTTTTTTTTTATATTGGCGAGCAACTGAGCATGATTATGATGCAAATACCATTTTTTTTTACTCGTCTCCACCCACCTCATCTACCATTATATTAAGATGAAATGGTTTATCTTTGAAGGCTATAGTTTATAAACACGAGATTATTGGAATACTTAATACTTTTGGCCAGCAAGAAATCAATTGAATTTTACGCCCATTTCAATTGGTAAAGAAGAAATGGATTATGGCTGCAAAGCCCCGTTAATTTTAACTCGTATAAAAAGTGCGTTGTTCTCTGGACTTGCACAGCTTTACCCTTCTTTTTTGTGTGTGTGTAGGATCTTCATGTAGCTAGCATATAAATCTCAATCTTTATTATGGTGAATTTCCTACCATGTAACAGCAAGCATAATGTATGGGAGTGACCTTCCACTTCCTATTATATCACCAATCGCTAACTCATCTCCAATGTCAAGCAAGTGAAATCTCTATAACATTGGAGCTAGCTACTTGAATTATAATCATCTAAGGCATCAATCTATAAATTAGGTAATTCTTGGTCCAACTACTGCTCTGCCTTGGTCCAATTAGCGAAGTCATATTTAAGAACCATCTGTAAAAATTGCCATTGTCATATTGAAAAATCCTAAAGGACCTTCATCTCCTTCACAAGACAAGTCAATGGGTACCCTCACAATGTGATCCCACTAGGTCTCACCCTTCTTAAGCTCAACTACATATGATAGAGCACTAATCGAGAGTTCTAGATCACTGGCACCTCACTTGCAAGACGTGGATCCAATATCTCCAACATTCCCAACAAATGATGATCATAATTATATAAATAATTCAACCCCTGTCACTTGCAACATCCCTAGCCACAGTAAATCCATCTGCAACTTACATCAATGCAATCTAATTTTGATTTTATTTCTTCTTTTCTCTCTTTATTTTTGTCCCTTTTTTTGTTTTTTTCTCATTTTAGAGAGAAAGTCTTACAGAGAGAAAGAGATTGAGAAAAATAGAGAAAGAAAGTGAAATAGAAATAGAAATAGAAATAGAAATAGAGATAGAAGAAGAGAGGGAGAGATAGAGAGAAAGGAGAAATAGAGAGGGAGAAAGAGAGAGAGAGAGAGAGAGAGAGAGAGAGAGAGAGAGAGGGAGAAAGAGAGATGGAGAGAGAGAGGGGGGGGGATAGAAGCAAAGGGTGAAAAAGAGATAAAAAGGGAGAGGGTCGGCTAGGCTACAATGTTGACGACAACAACAAGGGTGAAGGCAGGCTACGGTGGTGAGTTCCTGCACAATGGTTGGGGTAGAGCAAGTGGGGTCAAGTTGGGGCTCAAGTTATGCAATCAGAGAGATAGAGAGATAGAGAGAGAGAAGCATGCAAGAGTTCGAGAGAGCAGGAGAGTTGATTAGCTGTTGACGACTAGGGATGATGGGGGCGGCAACGGGTTTTCATCAACTTGGAGAGAAGAAGATGAGAGCGAGAGGAGAGAATGGGTGATGGAGATCAAGAGAGATGTGAATGAGGGGAGGCCGGCTTGGTTCTCACTTTGAGAGGGTGGTGGTCTTAACATGCTTGTGGGATGGGGGGAGAAGCGCTCAGATCTGATTTTTTTTTTCATTTGGTCAACATGGATGGTGCCAATAGCTTATAAATATGGGCTTATCGGAGTTTCTTGAGAAGCCAAGAAATCAATTGAGTTCTACATTTTTTTAGGTTTGTCGAGAGTTTTTACTTATTCAGGACCTCATAAAGGTTATTTAATAAGAAGAATATTGTTCTGCTTCAATTCATTTCCAAATATACTAACAAGCAGGTCCTACATTTTTTACTCTGAGAGAAAGCACATTGAAGTCATATTTGCTTGATTAACTAAAGTGAGCTGATGTATAATTGAAAGCTTAAACTATTGGAAATTTCCTTAACTCGGAACATTATGAATCTGAAGCTGCTTCCTATAGAAGGTTCTTACTTATAATTTTATTTATTTTATTTTTTAGACGTTTGAAGAAAATGCAACCTCAGCAGCCTGGTTACAGTAGTTCCCGTGTGTACCTGGAGCTTCTTGCTGATCTACCATGGGAGAAAGTGACAGAAGAACGGGAGATCGATCTTAAAGCTGCCAAGGAACAGCTTGATTGTGATCATTATGGTTTGGCCAAAGTTAAACAGCGCATTATTGAGTATTTGGCTGTTCGGAAGGTTAGGTTTAACATTTGTGGTTTCAGCCTCAACTACTGAAGTGCTATTTAAGGGTTGTTTTGCTAGTTAATTGACACTTCCTAAATGGATCAACTAAATTGCAGCTCAAACCAGATGCTAGAGGACCAGTGCTTTGTTTCGTAGGGCCACCTGGTGTTGGGAAGACGTCATTGGCATCATCAATTGCAGCTGCATTAAATAGAAAATTTATAAGGATATCTCTTGGTGGTGTAAAGGATGAAGCAGATATTAGAGGACATCGTAGAACTTACATTGGAAGCATGCCGGGGCGTCTTATTGAAGGATTGAAGGTGAGCAACATAGCAAGGCCACTATTTGATGCTTTTAATATCATTTTGTTGTGAAAACAAACTATAGTTTGACTTTTCTTTGTCTAACATTGTAAAGTTTTTAAAGGGACCCGGATTATCGTAGAACTTATCTGAATTTTATGGTTGGTTGTTGATGCTTAGTGCCTGAAATATCCTCCTAGTTTGACTTTGTGGTTGTGATTACTAATTCAGGGTAGTCTTTTAGATTCATCTCTTTGTTAATGTAATGATTACTAGTTTTGGGAATTAGTATATCTCATTTGCGTATTGCTTGCATAATTTCTATTTAAAAATGCCTAGTGAGAGGGATTATTAACATTATAAGGCTCTTTAATCTTGAGCCAGTTTGTTTTGCTTGTCGTTTTTTCTTTGTGGTGGTATATTAATTTTGTAGATGTTCAAGATAAAACTGACCTATGGACATTTCATTTTTAGTATGACATATTAATATTGTTTTCCTTTGCTATTTAGGTAAATTTTCAGTGTGAAGTTTTTTTTTTTTTTTTTAAGGGAAAGAACTTGAGAACAAATACAATTTGTTTATTATATCTCAAGAGGATCTTTACTTTGTATGTCTTAAAACTGATCATAGTCCTGCCAATCTCTTGTTATAGGAAGCATTTTCCCCTATCAAAATTTCAGTTTAGTTAAAACTGTAAACTGCCTTGTGTTTTTTATCTTTCCAAATATCCTCTCTGAGGGGAAAGAAAATGTATACCCAGTATTGCAATCTTGTTTTTTTCAACCTATTAGTGTGTTAAATAAGGGATTCTTTTTGTGCATCCTCGTATTAAGCGAACAGGAAGTCAATTGTCGGCTGTTCTTTTGTTTAATGGTTAGAAACATCCTTGTTGCAATCGTGAAGAAGGTATAACCCTTCTTAAAACTGTTTTATAGTCTTTTGCTTTTACACGTTTGTTTTCTTTGGTCTAGACCAATGCATGTGTTCTGACATGCTTGATAGCTTGTTAGTTGTAAAGGTTATAAAAGGCCCCTTTGTTGACGCCTTCATATGGTATTCAATATTTTATGTTGGTCTTCAAATTGTTCTTGCATCGATTGTCAGAGCTAGTATGTATAGGCAATACGCTGAAAAAAGGCTTTTCTACTTGGAAAGTTGAATTAGGTGCAAAAATTAAAGGGCTTCGCATTGGTTAGGAAGCATTACAACTGTACTGGAGTTTTTAAACATGCAAAAAGTGATAGAAAAAGCAGTAAGCCTATGATGCTCTTAAAACCAGAATGTAATTAATCCTCTTTTTGATCTTTCGTTGAGTGCTTGTATTAAAAGATTCATTTCATAATTGTTCGACAAGTTTTATACTGGTTGTCGACTACCTATAGTAAGCTTCCATTTTTTTCATCCAGGACTTGGGACCTTGCAACAATAGTGTTTTTAAGTATTTTATGCCTCTCTCATAATGTTGGCATCAAAAGAGAAGCATAAAATTAAGTGTTGCAAAGATGAGGATGCTCAGGTGGATGAGTGGCTTTTCTCTTAGAGACAATGTGAAATGAGTATATACTTGAAAGGTTGGAGTTGCTCCATTGGCAAATAAGATTAGAGTCGCCTTAGATGGTTTGGTCTCATAAAACGTCAACCTTCTGATGACCTGATTAGGAGAGTAGATGTATTAGATTTAGCCTATGTTAAAAAAGGTAGAGGTAGACTTAAAAGACCTGGTTAGAAAGCATTATAAATGTTTTTTTTTTTATTATTATATTTAAATGAGAATTTTACTCTTGATATGACACAATGAATTCATGTAGTTGACCCCACGTAGTGGGGTAAAGGCTTGATATTGTTGTTGTTGAGTCCTTGTAAAATCCTATGCATATTTAGGACTTAACAAGAGTCCTTGAAAATCCCATTAAAGAATTGCATTTGTATATTATCGATGCAGAACAATCTTTTATACCTTCTAATTGGATGCAAAACAGCCCTAATCACTAGCAACCCCAGTAGGCTTTGATGTAGTTGCATGGATGCATAGATTTACGTGCATTGGATTTTGATCTTCCTAATGGGCAAAACAAGCACCCAAGTATTTAAAATGAAATAGGCAATCTATGTATTTGTATGTAATACAACCATCTCATTAAAAATTAATTGAGAATAAAAGTTGATAGTTTTGTTGTGCTCTTCAATATTTGAATGATATTGTTGTGAATAGAAGCATTTGGTGTTATATTTGTAAATATGCAAGATTTATACATTACTCTTAAAATTGCCCCATAATGTGCAAGCAGCCAACCAAAGTGTTCTTCTAAGTTATTAAATCATTAAAAAAAAAATTAGACAGTTTTGTCTAATTTTCAACATCTTTTATTTTTTATATATTTATTTATTTATTTTTAATCCTATAAAATTTCTTTGGTAAACCATTTTCCTAGAATCTGATTTTCAATCAATCCATGAAAACATTGTTAAATATCCACAGCATTCAGGATTAGCTACATGAGATTAGCTCGAGTTTGATCAAACTTCTTTTTTAGTTGCTTGTTAAAATAAGGATAACAAAAGGAATGAAGTGACTATTAAACTGTTCTCTGCTTTCAGAATTACCTTTGCAACAAGCTCCTGCTTTTAATGATTACCATATATAATCCATGGGGTTATTGATTTAACTGCAGAGAGTGGGTGTCAACAACCCTGTGATGTTGCTCGATGAAATTGATAAGACAGGATCTGATGTCCGTGGAGATCCAGCATCCGCACTGCTTGAGGTTCTAGACCCTGAGCAGAACGGAACATTCAATGATCAGTATCCTTTCACATTTTTAATCTAGGAAACTTTTTTTCTTAATTCATGGTTACCGTTTCATCATAAAAAATAGGAATATTAGTTAGGTTGACTCTAAATAAGTTGTCGGGAGAAGGGAAAATTATTAGGTCTGGACACCGGACCTAAATATAGGTCCGGACACCGGACCTACATATAGATCCGGACATCCAATTAAAATTTGACACGTGGGCAGCGCTTTTGTTGCGTTTTTTACTGCGCTTTACCTGCACTTTACATGCGCTTTACCTGCGCTTTTGGTACGCTTGGCTTAAAATTCTGCATACACATTTAATTTATAAAGTAAAAAAAAAATTAATTGAATATCCACATGTACACTCCATGTGTCAATATTTTATTGGATTCTGGACGTATCTCTATATCCGGTGTCCGGACCTAATAATTTTCCCTTGATAAGTAGCATATCTGCATACCCTAGCTCATAGTCATCATAGTGTATCTAATGTACAGTTTAGTGGAAAGTTGCTGAATAACAGGTTGGAATTTACCTGTTAATCTAAGTTCGCATCAAGGTTATTTGCCAATTGACTTCCTTAATCCATTACTACCAGCTATCTGAATGTTCCATTCGACTTGTCAAAGGTTATTTTTATTGCTACAGCAAATAGGATTCAACCAATACCTCCGCCACTTCTAGACCGAATGGAAGTCATTGAGCTTCCTGGATATACACCTGAAGAAAAGTTGAGAATAGCAACAAAGCATTTAATTCCAAGAGTTATTGATCAGCATGGGCTAAGTCCTGATTTCCTTCAAATTCCAGAGGTAATTTTTCTCTTTTGCTGTAATTGCTAAATCATTAAAAAGTTGCTTGAATTAGAGTTGAACACCTTACGTTGCACTCAATAGGAATGTATGAAGAATGATTCATAAAATTGAAACAAATTGCCAAGCACTCAATAGGAATGTATGAAAGAATGATTCATAAAGTTGAACCAAATTGCCAAGAGAAGCCTAAATCATCATCATTAGCCTTCTCCTATTGTTTGTGGTTGGCTTTATGAATGCTATTTTTCATTCATTCTTGTTGAGTGGTGTCGGAGGTGTTTGGAAATCATTTTGAGCAACTATTCATTCTACATAAGTCTACCCCTTACCCATCCTAATTCTATGACACTAATTTAATCTACTCATTTTCTAAGTTTAGTTGTATGTGTCTAAATCGCTAAGTCTTTTTTCAGATATATTTTCTTTTATTGTTGTTACTTCACTGTTTCTCTAATATAATCAGTTGCTTAACATATCGTTCCTGGTTTTAGCATGCACTGGTTGCGTAGGCCAAAAAATTGAAATAATTTTGGTAACCCTCATTTATATGGCTTCTGCAACGCATATCTTGTTATCCTCTGATTTCATTCTTCTTAGTGGTTAGACCACCTTGTACTCCTGCATCAAGGAAATATTGTCATTTCCATACAAGACTTGAGGGATCTTATTTGAAAGTTTTCTTATATAGCATCACTATAGACTTCTGATTGTTCTTACTTCCACCTTGTACTCCATCAAGAAAATAATGTCATTCTCGTACAAGACATGAGGGGTATTATTCGAAAGTTTTCTTAAATAGCATCCCTGTAGATTTCTGATCATTGTTGTCCCAAACGTGAATAATTTACACCAACAGACTGCTTACTTAGGCTTCGTTTGCGACGGCTTTTTTATTACTTGTTGAAGCAGCTTTCAACTAAAAAGCTACTTTAAGAAGCAGCAAAAAAGTCGTCGCAAATGAAACCTTAGTATGTTACATTCATTGGCGTCCATAAAAGAATTCATATTGATTCATTCTGCATCGAACCTAAATATCATTAAAGCTTATCATTTAATCTTTAATTTGTGTCTTGTCGTGGTTTTCAGGACACTGTGAAACTTGTAATTCAAAGATATACCAGAGAAGCTGGTGTTCGGAATCTCGAGAGGAGTTTAGCTTCCTTGGCTCGAGCAGCTGCTGTGAAGATGGCTGAACAAGAATGCATAGTTCAAGCTGGCAAAAATGGGCATCAGCCTACAACTTCCTTGTTAGACACAAGGCTTGCTGATTCAGCGGAAGTTGAAATGGAAGTGATTCCTATGGATTCTAGCCATGATGAGATCAATGCTTTTACAAGTACATCGGCACTAATCGTTGATGAGTCTGTACTGGAGAAAGTGCTAGGGGTAATACTTTGCTGATTAATTTTGATCGAAATCTTTATTTTTAAAGCCTGTTCCTTTGAGCTTATTTTGGCTTCGTTTGGCACGGCTTTCTTACTGCTTCGTAAAACGGCTTTCTAGTACAAAAATTTTAATTTTTTTACTAGAAAGCCTCTTTAATAAGCACGAAGAAAGCCGTCGCACACGAAGCCTAAATCTAATTAATGAAAGTAGTTTTACATATATTGAGTTTGCAATTTGTAGCCTCCTAGGTTCGATGATAGAGAAGCTGCAGAACGGGTATCAAACCCAGGGGTTTCAGTGGGACTGGTTTGGACTTCATTTGGTGGAGAGGTTCAATTTGTTGAGGCCACAACCATGGCTGGGAAAGGAGATTTACATCTCACCGGACAGCTTGGTGATGTCATCAAAGAATCAGCACAAATAGCCCTCACATGGGTAATTTTCCATTATTCAATAGACACCATTCATTTAGAAATTTACGTCCATATATCCAACTTCTTCTCCAATCTTATTTAGGCTTTGTTTGGGGTAGTTTTTTTCTGCTGCTTAAAGCAGCTTTTTAATTAAATTTTTTTTACTAAAAAACTGCTTTAAAAAGCAAAAAAAAAATCCAGCCCAAATGAAGCCTTAAAAATTTCACCATATTTACCTTAGCTTCATAAGATTTTTATACAATAGTTTTGACACTTTTCCATAAGCATTTATCTGGTGGATCGAAAGCTTGATGCATGCTCATATCTCATTTATGTGTGTTGAATTCTTAGAACTTTGGCTTCATTTGATTTCGTGGAAATTGTGTTGATTAGGTTCCTAAAGTTTAACTTACTTTATAAAGGCATGTTTGAGTTAGACTTCCCCAATATGTGCAGAAATTAGTAGATATAGATAGTAGATGGTGGGACTATATAAACATGTATTGCATGTGAGTGTGAGTACACAGCTATGTACTTTTGACATCCGCACCCCACTCTAAGGGTTCGTTTGGGACAGCTTTTTTAATGCTTTTTAAAACAATGTTTTAGTTAAAAAAAATTTTGAATTAGAATTTTTTGTACTAAAAAGCCGTTTTAGAAAGCAATGAGAAAATTGTCTCAAACGAAGCTTAAATATGTTATTCATACCTAATAATTTCTCTCTCTGAGGGTTTGAATTTACCAGGCATTAATATCCAAAATCATGAGCTTGCAATTTTTTTAGGATATTGAGCTTGCATGTTTCATTTTCAGCTTTTTAACATCTCTTCATGAAAATTTCAGGTGAGAGCAAGAGCTGCAGATCTTAAACTATCACCTGCTGCTGAAATTAATTTTCTGGAAAATCGGGATATACATATACACTTCCCTGCTGGCGCTGTACCAAAGGATGGACCATCAGCTGGAGTGACTCTAGTTACATCACTAGTATCACTCTTCAGTCAAAGGAAAGTTAGGGCAGATACAGCTATGACAGGGGAGATGACTCTAAGGGGCCTAGTATTACCAGTTGGTGGAATCAAGGATAAGGTATGGTTTTTGTAGCCTGTCTTGCCTGATAATGAATATAAGGGTGGCTAATTTGAGGCAGTTTTAACCTATTTTACAACAATCAGTCCTGTTTGATTATAGTTTTCTTGCTATTTTTCAAAATTTTATATGATAGGAAATATTTTTTTTAATCAAATTTATTAAAGTGTTCAGTTATGAAAAAGCTACTGTCTTACTTTTTAAAAGGAAAAAAAATTATAATATCATAATAGTTTTCAAAATTTTGTTTTCTTCTCAACGAGAGATTATTCTGTGTGGACATTGGACACAGCTTATCATCCAGAGCTGAATCAGGTGCAGCCATGTCATCCAGTATCGAGCAGTACCAAGCTGCGGTACCGAGTAGAGGGTGACGTTGCACATTTTCATTAAGCTCTGGACGGCGTTCGACATCTGCACCTAATAATTTCCCTCGCTCAACAGTTCTACAACAGCTTCTACATACTATTGCAGCTGCTCCAAATGAACCATAAGTTTTACACCACATGGTAATAGTTGAAGCTAATCAATTTATGGTTATTTTTCAATCAGGTTTTAGCCGCCCATCGTTATGGGATTAAGAGAGTAATTTTGCCGGATAGAAACATGAAGGATTTGGTTGAAGTTCCATCAGTTGTGCTTGCTGATATTGAGGTACTTATTCAATCTAATATGTTCAAGAAATATTTTTATTTATCATAGTTTTTTGCTTTGGTAAAAAGAATTCTCATTCTTAATAAGAAAAACCAGAAAAGAGCCGCCTCATTGATCGTATGCATCCAAATTCACTCTTGAAATTGAATTGTTGAAAACCTTAATAGTTGTTGCATCTATCGTTCTCATCCAACGTTTTTTATACAAATTTCATACCAAATATGATTAACCCATTCATTATGAATGGTTCAAAAATCTCAACCCAGATAATATTTAAGTCAAGTTGGCTTTAAACACAACTCATCTTAGTATGTTGATTGAGAGCTTAGGCTACCAACTAAGAGATTTTGGATTCGAGTCTTGTATATGCGATGTGTGTGTTAGTCTGCCTTAATTGACCTAAATGTCCCAAAAAAAATTGACTTTAAACTAACTTGAAATGGATATGATTATTCGATTTAGATGCAATAACTTGAAAATTTATAATTTACCGTGTTATAACACATGAAGCCGAATCAAATCTTCGACGGTTTGACTTGAACCTATAATTTTCATATATTTTGATCAAGATGTCTATATTTTGCAGATTAAGTTTGCAAAGAGAATGGAAGATGTCCTAGAATATGCCTTTGAAGGTGGATGCCCTTGGAGACAATATGCCAAGCTATGACTGAACCTAATAGCCCTCCCTCCCCTCTTTGACCTGATGGCCTCCCTCCTGACCACCTGAGTACAATCTCCCTTAGCACCATCAGGCAGCTCATATATGTAATCAACTACAGGCTCCATAGCAATTTTCCATCACTGGCTGAGCAATCAGCAGATCATATATTTATGATGTGGAAGCAGAGTCTTTGCATTCATCAGAAGGTTTATTTGATTTGATTCAGAACTGTATAGTAAGCTTCTAAACCCCCTCTGATCCAAAATAGTGATGAAATGTTATAATGCTAAGGGCGTTTTGATATATATATATATGTTTTTTTTTTTTATATAATATATGTTAAATATGATAGGCTTATGTACATTGGATTGTATGAGAAAT